CTTTTTTCCCCTGCATTTCCATCCCATCTTTGCATAGCGTTTGCGTATATAGAGTTGCATCGGCCTAGTCATACTTCTTTAATCTTGTCAGCAAATTAATAAATAGAGAATAATATCGATAGTACTTCACATTGCCCTCTTCGGATTAGGAAGTGCAGACGTACATACCTTACAACCACGGTAACCACCGCACTTCGGCCGAAATAAAAAAGGAAATTGTTTCAAAGCGTCCCGTAATGGCTGACCGCGTCGTGGCGCTTGTAGGAGACGGGACTAACAAGCCATCTGTCTTATGGTGGCACAGGTTGAGATGCACATCCTCACCTTGAGAGCTAAGCGACGGTCTAGCCAAGAAGGCGTGAGGGAGTGTGGCTAAGACAAATGTGAGATCCGCCCCTGGAGCTTGCAAACCAGGTCAAGCTGGTGCTATGCGCATGGCTGGTCGGAGGTAGTCTGTAGTGTTGCTTGCGGATGCCGACGACTATGCGTGATGTTACTTCTGCTGATTCTGGAGCTCTTCGCAGCCAACAGGCGTTTGTGTTTGGTCGCCTGGTTGGGTCGCACAGGACCATGCGGGGCAGGAGCTAATTGTTGGCAGAGGTGGCAGGTGCGGAGGGGTCAATCGGCGCTTTGCTCACCATTTGTCAGGAACGACAAATGCGTTGAACGGATGCTGGTGGGGCCGCTGTTGCTAGGCAATTGGCCACTGAGCGCCAATCAGAGGTGGGTCTGGAACACTTCTTCGCATCGGATTGCAAAACACCTTTGGAGGTTCTGTCATCGCTGATTCATCTATTCATCAAGGCAAAGAGTCCCATTGCATGATTGTGCCGACAAATGACGGCGTCGAAAATGAAAGCCGGGAGCGAGCTCCTTCTGTATTTCCATCTCTGTGCGAAGTGCAGTACTTCCTTTGCTCCTTCCTGCGTTGAGCAGGAGGTCAATGAGGCCTCACAAGAGGTGCCAAGTGTTTGACTGCGTGGAAAGAGCAGTTGGAAGCTAGTGGAGAGGCTCTTTCCCGTTGAGGGGCACAGTTTAGGTCCAAGCCTTACGATACATCGCGTGAGCTTTAGCACCGATGAGGCAACATTGTCTTACAGAACGGCCAGGATCGTCTACTCGATATGCACGATGCGGCCGGACCACACAGTGACTCCGCAGGAAAACATGCATCGAGTCGGCTGACAATTGGGCTTCTAAAAACGACAAATTCACAACTAAGAGATTGAAAACAACAAAAGCAACACCGTTCCTCCGTCCGGCGTCCGATACACACCGCGCTTGTAAGCAGGCCAGGCGGCCTTCTTGGCGAATAGGAAAGAGGACAGCTTTGGCACGACAATAGCGCTCCCCGGAGGCGCGAGCTGCTGAGTTGCCATCACGGCCGACCATTTTGCAAATGTAGAGCGTTGGTGAGACGGGGCATCGTCGTGGGGGTTTGGTTTGGCCAAGTATCTTTGCTCTTGATGTTGCAGGGCGAGGCAAGAGCGAGATCCGTCCATTGAGGACGTGTCTGAGCCATCCATGATTTCTGCTCGCCGCCTCTCACAAACACTCAATGAACTGACAGATGGGCTGCCTTAACCGCAAGACGAAAACTCAAAGCATTCCAGTGAACGTCTGGGGGAGAGCAACCGGATATTGACCAGGAAGTGTAAATGTTTCTCGTCTCCCGCTTTAGATACGAAGCAACTGAGAGATCGTGATGGAGCTGTTTCTGTGTCTTCTGGTCGAAGAATGTTAGATACCGTTGCGGGATGCCGCTAAAGCAACTGTTGCAGGGGTACCGATCCATGTGGATAATTCGTAGATGTGCAAGACATTAGCTAGAGAGGGGCAGAGGGGCTCTTACAAAGGCCAAATGGCGCCGTGCAGCTTTGATTTAGCATGCTTTGCAATTGATTACGGCATATCCCAGATGGCGTGCGCTATGCGCTATGCGCTATGCTCCAAATCAGGAACCGCAAAGTCGAGCCTCGCTCTTTCCCCTCCAAGCGGTCGCAGTTGCCCGCTCGACCAGCTGTTCTCAGAAATGCACGGTGGAATGCGCGGGAGCAGACCAAGGACAAAGGGCATTCGGGGTATAAAACGCGCCTTCCCGCTGCGTCCTTGGTCCGGCTGGCTCTTGCCTCTTCTTCTTCTTTGTCTTCCAGAGCATCATCATCCGCTTTCCATCTCTTTCGTCCCAACAAACCCACCCCGATTATATCTACACACATTGACACAATGGCTCCTAAGATCGCCATCGTCTTCGTGAGTAGCCCCTGCTCCCCACAGTACACCCCAACGGCCTACGTTCATACAATGGGAAGCTAACAGAGACGGTCGCTAGTACTCCCTCTACGGCCACATCCGCCAGCTGGCGGAGGCTGAGAAGGCCGGCATTGAGAAGGCCGGCGGTACTGCCGACCTGTACCAGGTTGAGGAGACTCTTTCCGAGGATGTCCTGGCCAAGATGCACGCCCCACCCAAGCCCACGGACATCCCTGTCCTGACCGACCCGGCCACCCTTCTCCAGTACGATGCCTTCCTCTTCGGCATCCCCACCCGTTACGGCAACTTCCCCGCCCAGTGGAAGGTACGTGAAGAATATTATGACTGAGGGTTTTTTTTTTTTTTTCGTTCTTTTCTTTTCTTGTGTTTTTTTTTTCTTCTCGTACAACACTGACATCACAGACCTTCTGGGACAAGTCTGGTGGCGTCTGGGCCAGCGGTGGCTACGCCGGCAAGTACGCCGGCTTGTTCGTCAGCAGCGCCGCCCACGGCGGTGGCCAGGAGTCCACGGCTCTGGCGTCCATCAGCACGCTGGCGCACCACGGCATCATCTACGTGCCCCTGGGCTACTCCCACTCCTTCCCTCAGCTGGCCAACCTGGAGGAGGTCCACGGCGGCTCCCCCTGGGGTGCCGGCACCTTCGCCGCCTCCGATGGCAGCCGCCAGCCTTCGGCTCTGGAGAAGGAGATTGCCACCATCCAGGGCGAGGCTTTCTACAAGATCGTCTCCAAGGCGGCATGACTGCATGGCAATGCCACAGACGGGCAGCAGGCAGCCGCTGCGGGACAGGCCAAAGCGGCTGCTGCCCCCGCGGCGCAGAACAGCGGCTCCGCCGCCACAGCCGCGGGCACCGGCGCTCCCAGCTCTTCCGCACCGGCTTCTGGCCCCCAGCAAGGGACTGGCTCCAAGGCCGGTCCTTGCGGACTCCCGGCAAAGTGTTCCATTCAATAAAACGTGAAAATACAAGAGATGTTGCATTTAGGTAGTTGCATTGGAATTATACCACAGTACAATTCAATTTTACGGTCAATCGAAGAAAATACTGAAATACTGAAATACTTTTATACTTTTGTGTCAAGCCTCGCCCTAGGGAACGCGTGGTGATACCATGCCGTGAAAGCGTCGCCGTCAGCACTAACGTCTGTTGCGCTCCATTTTCCACGTCTTATAGTCGGATTCTATTGAACTTTTTTGCATTGCATCAACATTGCTGTCAGCCTTACAGCCTTCTGACGACGTCCTGGAATACGTCCTCGGTCTTGGCCGTGCCGCCCAGGTCGGGGCTGAGCAGCTTCCCCTCGGCCAGGTTGGCGTCGACGGCCGCGTAGATCTTGGCGGCGGCCGCCTCCTCGTTGAGGAACTCCAGCATCAGCGCCGTGCTGCGCAGCGTGGCGATGGGGTTGGCAATGCCCTGGCCCTGGATGTCGGGCGCACTGCCGTGGCAGGGCTCGCCAATGGCAAAGTTCTCGCCGACGTTGGCACTGGGCACAAGCCCCAGCGAGCCGACGAGCGCCGCGGCGCCGTCGGACAAAATGTCGCCGTACAGGTTGGGCGCCACAATCACGTCGTAGTACTCGGGCTGGCGGAACAGCTTGTACACCATGGAGTCGACAATCTGCTCCTCCACGGTCACGCCGCTGCTGAAGCGCGGCGCCGCCAGCGCCGCGCGCGCCGTCGAGCGGAACAGGCCGTCGGTCTGCGACAGCACGTTGGACTTGTGCGTGATGGTGACCATGGGCCGCGCGTGGATGCTGGTCGTCCGCCCGCCGCTGGCGGCTTCCGCATCGCGGATCTTCTGACGGCGCAGCGCAATCTCGCCCGCCATCGTGGCAATGCGGTGCGACGCATGCTCGGAAATGCGCTTGATCGCCTCCGCCACCTTGCCGCCGCGCCCGCTGGCGTCGTCAAACGTGCGCTCCTCCTTCACGTACAGATCCTCCGTGTTCTCGCGCACAATGACCATGTCGACGGGCTTGACGCCCTTCTCGCCGGCCGCCGTCTTGACGGGCCGCACATTGGCGTACAGGTCGAGCTTCTTGCGCAGCGCCACAATGGGCGACGAGTAGCCCTTGACCGCGGTCGACGGCGAGGACACGGCGCCGAACAGGGCGCCGTCGCACTCCTTCTTGAGTGTCTCGACGGTGGCATCGGGCAGGGCGGCGCCCGTCGTCTCAAACGTCTCGAAGCCGGCCTGCAGGTCGACAAACGAAAACTTGAGACCGAGGCTGGCGGGCAGCGCCTCGAGGATGCGCCGGCCGGCCGGGATCACCTCTTTGCCGATGCCGTCACCGGGGATGAGGCCTATGAGCGAACACGGTTAGCAACGGGTGCTGCTACATTCGTCAGCAGCTGCACATGAACGCACCGATTCTCAGGGTTCTTCTGGCTGCCATGGCTGCGGTTCAATGGCTCAAAACAAGAACGTCAACGTCGTTCGTGGTGTTCTGGTCACGATTTCGATGGCGGCTGTTTTCGGCCCCTCTGATGAATTTTTACCGCGTGCCACGATCCGCTGTACATACGAAAATGGTGCAATTGCTAGCATTGGCGGGGTACCGCCAGCTTGAGCGAACCTTTTTTGCCGCCGACTATCGGAAGCACGCTGACTGCCACGCCGTTACTGAAAGAACGACAGGTGTGCCTCTGCCACAAAGTGGGGCAAACCAATCGCGATTCTAGAAGGAGGAAAGTGCAGCAGCGACTGGCAAGGTCCAAGCGGTTGCTCCCTTGGCCAGCTACGGTTTCTTCTATTATTACCCCTATTTTTCATATTAAATACGGGGCATGGATTAGCGCACTTACCATTTCCTATCTAGCAAACACCCTCTATCGGAGTAAGTACAATGTAAATACATAGTAAATACAACATACAATATGCGGTGAGAGCTCAAGGAAGGTGTTTTGTGTCTGAATTTCCATCTCTTTCCTGGCCGAGTCTTCCTGCCCAGTCGCTCTTTCCAAATCTGACAAGAAACAATACGGCGTCCAGGGTACTGGGAACGGTCTGTCAGATCTCCGAAACGGTTGAAACGATTGGTTGGTAGCACGCCTTGGAGGCTCCTTCCCATATGTCCCACAGAAAGGGGAAGGGAAAGGAGAAAAGGTTGCGTCAGGGGTTTAATGGACAAGGGAAGTCGCGTTCCTGGAGGCTCCGCCGCATAAACTGCCAATGGCCGCGTGGTACACCTCAACATACGAAACGCCGTATGCATCAGTCGTCTGAGGCTTCCTCGATACGTGGCCGGCACGATGTAAAAGCTTCCATTTCGTTCGTCTCCTTCCTCTCCTTTCTAGCCTATTGCCCCCGTAGACAAGCTCCTGGGCTCTCCTCTGACGAGCCGGCGTCGCCGCCTTTGCTCCTTCCGCTTCTCCGTTTGATCTTCCTGCCTTTTTGCTTTCCGTTTACCACATTCGCGGTTGCCATTTGACGTTTACATATAGCACCGTCTGGCGATATGACCCGTCGATACTGTAATTCGTACGCGATCACAGCGTGTCCTTTGCAAATACGGACAACCGCCAAAAACGGTGCGTTGCAGCTCTCTGAAACAAGACGTTTCTAGCTTGGTCTGGCCCTCAGGGCCCAATAATTTAAAATCGGGGTGCCACACAGCCATTGGCATGGCTCGCCTCGTTGGCCCGAGAAGTCCCACTCCAATGCCCTTTTGCTCTGGCATTCCTGCTGCCTGTCAGACTAGGAAATACATTCTCCAGCCACAAATGCAGACACCAGCCAAAACGAAATCAAAATAAAACGGTGTGGTCATACAGGCCAGGTTCGCGAGGAAAGAACAACGGTTGGTGCGAATTGAAAGCTGCCTCCTGTGGCCTCGTCTCGCAAACCCAGCATCGTGCCTTCCTTCGCTGACCTCGACTCACGCTCTTGGATCCTTCCCTCTCAGTTTACACCCACAGCCGATTTCATAGCACTCCTTTACGTTAGCAGTCTATCCTCGCGCTCCCCCCTGACGCAGCAAGCATCAGCATCCGTTCGACCAGGCGAGCTACTGTACTGCGTTCCGGTTTCTCCTTTCCTTCAATTCGACCCAACCCCCCGAATCGACCGGTATTCCGCTCACGACTACCTCTTTGCACATTGCCAATTCTCAGCGTTTTCATACGTCTATCGTCGCACCTTCCCTATCCGAACGACCTCGACCGTAGCGCCGACCAGCTCTTTCCTTCCCGAGCAACCTACTCTCGACTGCCTTGCGCCGAGGGCGCCTGCCGCCATAAATTGACCGTCTCGGGGCGTTCTTTCCCTCCCAGAAGTCACCTCACCTTAATACCGGCATCATGAGTCAGGTTAAAAACCTTCGCGCCATGTTCGAGCAAAAGGGGGATTCGAGCCCCCCTGACCGCGGCAGGGAGGGTCTGCCTTCTACGCGTACGACGTCCCTTTGCGCTACCCCTACTTCCTTGTCGACTGCATGCTAACCTAGCCGTACATTAGCCACTGACTCCCCTCGGCCGCTCTCACGTGTGCGGACGAGCTTCGTCACGGTCGAAAAGGACGGCCGGGTCGGCCTCCAGCGCGATACGAGCAGCGACTCGGTTCCGACACTGTCGAGGACGCTCTCCGGTGGAACCGAATCCGACGTTGCCGTGCCGGGCGTGCCCCTTTCTCCAGCCCGAAGCAGGTCGCCCATCAAGTTGGAGGACTCCAAGCCGGCGCCCACGACACAGACACCTAAGCGGATGCCAGCGCCCATTCCGGAGGAGTCGACGCCAGTGACACCGACAAAGGCACCATTGCCTGCGTCTGTGGCAAAGCCGGTACGGGACGCTACCCCAAAGCCCCAGCCATCGGCTGAGGTAAAGGTCTCAGCACCAACACCAGTGCAGACAAATAAAGACGAGACCAGCAAGTCTCTGGATGCAAAGGCCGCTCAGAGAGACAAATCGCCAGCACCGACTCCCCGAAAGCTGTTTCCCAAGCCAGCCGACGGCGAGCCTGCATCGGGCACGCCCAAGAAAACACTGGATGCGCCCGCACCTGCGTCGAATGGTGTCAAGAAGGCTGCCAGCGTGCCCAAGGGCGGTCTTTCGAGCCAACCGGCGCCTCCGGCAGCGGCCCGCACTAATGGCGCCTCCAACGGGGTGGCCAAGGATGCACCTGTGACGGGCTCGTCGCGTTCGGCTGCCTCTACCTCCTCTCTCCCGCTGCATCCAAAGGTTACCAGCACAGGCCCTGGCAGCAAGGAGGCGCACAAGCCGATCGCAACAAGCGCCGGAAAGAGCGCCCCAAAGGCCATTGCGACGGTCAGGGATACTACGAAGCCCGCAGCAAAGTCGCCCGGTCTTGCTGTGAAGTCGCCTACGGTCAAGACGCCCAAGACACCTACCAGCCCAGCCAAGCCTACGACGGCCAAGACGACGGCGACGAAGGCGACGACGACAACAACATCATCCAAACCTACGACGACGTCCAAGCTGCCCAGCAAGAAGCCAGCGTCCACGACGACCACGGCAACGGCGCCTAAGTTGACGGCGGGCAGCAAATCATCCTCGTCGGCGGCCGGGGCCAAAAAACCCGCAGCGGTCCAGACATTCCCACCCAACGGCATCGGCTTTGTGAAGCCCAAGGTCAAGTCGCCCACGCGGCCCGTGCAGCTGCCGTCCAGCCTGACCACGCACACGGCGTCATCGGCCACCAAGGCCGGCGTGCCGCGGCCGTCCCTGTCGCGGCAGTCTGGCAATTTCCTGACACTGCACCAGCCGGCATCCTCCGCCTCGGCGGCGCGCTCGCCAAGCCGCACCAGCACATCGTCTGCTGCTGCTGCTGGTGGCCCAAGGACGCTTCGGCGGCAGAGCTCGACGGTCAGCCGGCCGCGGCCGAGCATCGGCCCGCCGCCCAAACAGACCGCCCGCGACCATCCGGTGACCCGAAAGGAGAAGGAGGTCGACGAGGGCTTTTTGGCGCGTATGATGCGGCCGACGCAGGCCTCGGCGCTCAAGACGGCCGACAAGGCGCAGCTGTCACCGCCTCGGAAACAGCCGGTCGTGGCGCATGTGGCGGCGGTCCCCATCGCAACCAAGACGGTACGAAAGAGCTCGGCGCCGCGGGAGAGCGTGGCTGCTACCGCCACGGGAAAGAAGGTCGTCCCGGAGGCACCGTCGCTGGCCAACCGCCCGCCTGCGTGCATTACGCGCAACCCAGACTTCCCCCCGCCCACGAAGGTTGCCGAATCTGTGAAGGAGGAGGTACCCAACCCTTATGCCGCTGCTGCGGCCAAGGAGACAGAGCCTGTCAAAGACAAAGAGGGTCCCGAGGAGGAAGAGGGACTTGTCGAAGAGGATGTCGTCGAGGAAAAGCAGGCGGAGGAGGAAGCCGCCGAGGAAGAATCCATTGAGGAGACAGCTGAAGAGGAAGACGCACCTGCCGTTGCTGAGGTGCCGGTTGAGGAGGAGGAAGAGGCCGAGGACGAGAGCCACGTCGAGTCTGTGGAGGGGGCCGTCGTGAAAGAGGAAGCTACTGATGAGCCCGAGTCAGCACCTACCGCTGAGGCTGCTTCTGAAGTGGAGAAGGAGGCAGACGAGGATGAGGACGAGGGTAGAGAGGGTGAGGAGGAGGAGGAGGCAAAGGAGGCCGTCAAGGACAGCGACATGTCTGCCGTGGAGGCCAGTGTCGCCGAAAGCGTTATACCCGAGGCAGAGGCTGAGCACTGAGCACGAAGCCGAGCATCCCGACATCTATCCAGCACGTTGACTTTATTTACATGGCGCTATATAACTCTCCTGGGAATTTAACCCGTTGTTGAATACTATTTCCTGCATTTGCTTTTGCTTTTGACTCGCATGATATACCTCTTTTTTACGGACATATACGACGTACCAATGCGACAATTTACAACTCTTCTTATAGTATGTATACATCTTGTCTACTCGATATCAGACAGGGTAGCCAGGTTCTGGTGTGGGCGTGTGCGAGACCACCTTATGCACTCGAATGTAGCCGTCGGGGTCAGCCTGGAAGTCGTAGACGCTGTGGGATAGCCCCGGCCGCGCGGTTTTGAGCATTGTTTGCGCATCGTCGTCTTCCGGGCGTTTGAGTGTTGGCAGGGGTTTGTTGAGATCGAGTGGCGGTCGACTCGGCTTGGCGCTGCTGTTCTCACGAGCAATGAAGAGCATGGACCGCAGTGAGAAGAGAGAACGGGTTCTGGAGGGCGCTGCTCCCGTCCGTTTTTCGGATCGACCGGGCCATGAATTTCGTTCTCTCGAAAGGCGAGACTGGGCCGCGGTGTAGCGGTCGGGAAGAAAACGGCAAAAGAACGGTTTAAGCGCCGGCAGCGAGGCCACAATCTATGGAGTCAGCAGAGGGACACAGCAACTCATTCACAGTCAGATGGTCGGGGTCACGGACGAGAACGTACAATGCCAATGTGGAGCTCGAGGGCGCTGGCCATCAACGCCGGTGCCGTGTTCCAAGTCAGATCACCATCGGCGCTTGTCATGGATTTCCACGTAAATACAGTGCGAGCAGCCCCGGCGGCGACTACCAGGAGACCACCCACAAAGAGGCTGGTCACGATCGCCGGCGGTCGACAGAGACGAAGGCGTCTGCGCTTGGAGGGTGCCGGGCCCGTGATGACAACCCGCGTGCCGCGGACCAAAGGGGCAGACGACGCCGACGACGCGGGCAGCGACACTGCTGTTGTTTCTGACGAGGTGGACGATTCAGATTGGTTTCTACTCCGACTATGGCCGCGCGTCCAGGGCATGTCAGGCTGCTTGGCCGTGGGGGCGCTCGCAGACGCAGATGGCAGTAGCGACACCGATACCGTTGCAGCGGTGGCCGTCGCGGTAGCCGTCGCGGTAGCCGTCGCCTTGGCTTTGTCGACTGCCGACCAATACTGGAACGGAAACACGACCGCAATGATGAGGTCGGCCACCGTATTGATGATGCCTGCGGCCAGCAGATGGCTGGCCTGATCGATGCAGTGGTGTGGGCCAGAGGAAGACAGGGTCCAGTAGGCCGCGACGGGGCGGCACTGAAAGACGTCGACGAGGAGAAAGACGACAATACTGGCCAGCACGACACCAGCAAGACACAAGGCCATGCGGCGCGCTGCGTGCTGGCCGCTGGCATGCGTGATGCGTATAAAGAGGGCCAGCATGGACAACTTGGTCAGGTTGGTCGCGCCGTCAAAAAGTACTTGCATCGCGAGGCTGGCAAAGAGTTAGCATTAGCTGTTGTGGACTCATTTTAAGGAAAAACATATATACTAAGAAAAAAGAAAAAAAAAAAAAAAAAAAAAAAACTCACGTCAATTTCAGGCCTGGAACGATAGAACTGGGCATGAGGGCCCAAACGTGCTGACCCCATTGCAGCGTGAGTGCACCTGCAATACCAGCAGCGGAAAAGGCTACAGCAATCGTCTGGAGACGGTGTCAGGTGTCAGTCAACGACTGTGGCGTGAGATGAAGAGGACCAACAGAATGGACTCACCAAGGAAAGGAGAATCAGCCCGTCGTCTGAGCCAAGGCCCCGGGTGATGCGACACCGTGTGTAGATGCGGATACCAACGAGCAGTATTGTGACACCGATGAGGACGGACATGAGGATGACGATGGCAGGCCCGCGCGTGCCCGTGTCGGCTAAATGGAGCGACGGCCATGCCAGTCGCCGTGCAGGTGGACGTTCCATGGCAACGGAGTTTGTGATGAGGGAAAAGGATAGCAGGAGCGAGGACACTGGCGAACTAGGTCCTTGCCTTGCAGACGAGCAGACCAGAAGATCCGAACCAAGGATGGCGAGAAAGAGCAAGATATATACCACAAGATAATAATGCACAAGACTCACGGCATACTGCCGAGCGCCTCACGGACTGTAAGGGGGTAGCCTTTCTTCGGGATGACAGAATGTCGGTTTGTTCGTATCACATCAGTCTTGTTTTCGTTGTCTTGAAGCATTTATTTATTTTACTTTTATTTTACTTGGAAGGCCTCCGTTTTCCTTATGCTTTATGATTTCCTGATGGGCATCGGATCGTCCTGCATGAACAGAGCCACTTCTGATGGCACGCCGTTTCTTTTTTTTTTTTGTGAATCACGAAATACTGACAAATGGTAGAAAAAGAATATCGATAAATTATGAAAGTAGTCCAAAAAGGGAAACAGAAAACGAAGTCGCAAACGTCTGCCTCAGCGCCACCATACTCACCAGTCTTGTTTTATTTTGTTTCGATGGTAGCCTGCGACGTTTTAAACAGAACATAGGGGGCATTGCTTGCTCTTCTGGGAGTCGTTGGTCCATCTTCAAACTCACCGTTGCATCATCGTTTTTGATATTCGAGATCTGACCACAGGGATTGCCCGCTTGTTCGGTGGGGGACACACTCGCTCGTTTATTTTTCCTGGAGTTCATATCGTGCATTTTACGGAGGGATGCGTATACCTTGCTACTTCTCCGGCAACTAAGAGAGCCCAGCTCGATATGCCGAGTACGGCTTACATCGTACACAGCCTCTTCGTGATGGACATGCATGGATTTCCGCGCTCGGGACTCTAACGCTCAGAGGAGATAATAATGCGATTGGTGCGGATCCGTGGCGATCCATGGCAAGGCTGAGAGACAGGGGCCCAGCGCCCATCTCCTAGCCCAGAGTATCTTCGTACAGGCAAAGAGTCAGTGGTAGACGTTCTCTATAGAATTAATGCAGCCGACATCCGCTCCTCGGAAAATTAACAACATAATTGTGCACGGCCGCTGAGGCCCGTGGGAGCCTCAAACAAGCAGGGTCCAGGCGACAGGAGTATTTCCAAACCATGTCTCACGGTACACCACCCGAGCCACCTTTCTCGGTGTGCACATAATTTTCACCACTGGTCCTGCCGTTTCAAAACGGCGTCGATCCGCCTTACAATGCTACTAAGCAGTACCGAATGCAGAAGGCAGATCGGCCACATATCGTTGTACAAGGTTGCCACAAACTGGAGCTGCAGAAATAATGCTTGCTTTGTGTGATAGCCGAGCTGCTGGTGGCTGCAACCTGTGTTCCTTTTGAGAAACACAGGCAGGATGCTTTGGCCTGCAGTTGGTGAGGCAAACAGTGTTTCAGATTCCCAGCAAGCACAGATCCTACACATAAGCGGGCTCCAAATGCCACTTATCACAACTGATATGTGACTGACACAAGAATATTCATGCTTTAATCCAATAGGCAAAGAAGGAGTGACAAGAGAGAAAAGAAGTCGTCATTGCTGACTGCCGTTGGTTGGGGTCGGTTCGTGTCGTGCAAGATACTAGCACCTGACGTATCACGTGCACAATAACTCATCACGTGACAATACCACTAGGGCATTTTGCCAACGCCCACAATTCTGTACATGCATTTCTCTTTTTTAAAAAGTGGGGCGAATTCCCTCCCCTCCGTTCCACCTAAAAGTTTCTCGCCATCCATCTTCTCGTTCTGGCTTTCCGTCCTGCAACCCAAACATATTCCCACGCAATAATCCTCACCATTAGATTTTTCTGTTCTCTATTGGAAGACGGTCAATATGTCTAAGATCACCGTCGCTGGAGTGCGGTACGTTTCGATGAACGACGAATAACGATCGCTTGACGAGCGAAAAACGAGAAAAAAACGAAAAAAAAACGAAAAAAAGACAAAATACTAACTTGTCCTCCAGTGCCAACGTCGTCGAGGTCCTCGAGTACTCGAACGAGACCAAGAAGCGCAACTTCCTCGAGACCGTCGAGCTCCAGATCGGCCTCAAGAACTATGATCCCCAGCGTGACAAGCGTTTCTCGGGCACCGTCCGCCTGCCGTCGGTCCCCCGCCCCAACATGGCCATCTGCATCCTGGGTGACCAGCACGACATTGACCGCGCCAAGCACGGCGGTGTCGACGCCATGTCGTCGGACGACCTGAAGAAGCTCAACAAGAACAAGAAGCTCGTCAAGAAGCTGGCCCGCAAGTACGACGCCTTCATCGCCTCCGAGACCCTGATCAAGACCATTCCCCGTATCCTGGGCCCTGGTCTGTCCAAGGCCGGCAAGTTCCCGACCCCCGTCTCGCACTCCGAGTCGCTGTCCGACAAGATCACCGACGTCAAGTCCACCATCAAGTTCCAGCTGAAGAAGGTGCTGTGCATGGGTGTCGCTGTCGGCAACGTCGGCATGGACCAGGAGCAGCTGGTGGCCAACATCATGCTGGCCATCAACTACCTCGTCTCCCTGCTCAAGAAGGGCTGGCAGAACGTCGGCAGCCTGACCATCAAGGCTTCCATGTCGCCGCCCCGCCGTGTCTACTAAGCGCATGTTTCGTACTGCATGCGGACGGTCCAAGTCATGTTCTTGAGAACCCTTTTGTGACAAAAGACAAAAAGGGCAAATTCCTGTCTGTCTGCGTCCTTGACTGGGCCTGGACAAGGAGGAGGGGGCGAGTACATAGTCTAGATAGTTCGCTACGAAACCTGCAATAAAAATTGCAAAAACACAAAGTTCCGCGATGCGACGTGATTCACTCCGCTCTACCATTATGGGCATATATGACAGGTAGACGACAAATTTGACGTCGTTTACCCTCGGGCGAGGCAACTGTAAAAGAAGCAACTGTTTCATCTGAAAGATGCTTCCCAGCAATGCTGTTTGATGCGTACGACAAAGCTTTCGACCGGCGACATTGTCTGCTTCCGTTCTCGATGGACACCCTACGCGGCGCAAGCGAACACTTAAAAACTACGGCGTACAAACAGTACAAACACACATGCTCGAGATAATATGTCGAGACCGCCCCACAGCCATGAACCGAAGATGTCGTCCACGCCAACGTGTAAGGGAAAAGGCAATCACATTAGTTTAGGAGGCCGGGAACGGAGGAAAACCCATGGCGAAAAACGGATGCTTTTCAGAAAGAATAACCCTCAGCAAGCCACATTCGTGGAGCCGCCGATAAATGTAGTAAGGGTCTACGTCTTCACATGACGGTGTAGATTTCGTCCCTTGCTCGAGAAAAGAAAAAAGAAGAGGAAGCGAAGTCTCGAAAATGATTTGGCGGCTCGATATTTATGCGAGGAAATATTCGGGGTGGGTCCTTCCTCTTTCTAGACTAGCGCCTTGTATCCGCAAGTCGACGACAGAGCGATAAGAGGTCCCCGCCTTATCATCACGTGAAGCATCTCCAGGCTGCTCTTTCCCCGACCACGACGGCAGCAAAATCAACATACGAGGACCTTGTCATCAAACAGCAAACCTTTCCAGCACCCTCAGGGACCAGACCACAGTACGGAAGAATGACATCCGAATCCATTGACGGGCTGCTGGCCCGGTACCTGGGCCTGCTCCACGAGTATACCGAGCTGCGCGGCCAGCTGTCCACCCACCAGGCCAGCATGTTTGGCAACTTGGCCCGCGCCAACTTTTCCGCCGAGCGCGGATTCCGCTACGGCCCAGACCACTTCGATGGGCGGATGCAAGCCCTTGTGCGGCTGAATATCGCGGAAGACAGCAGGGGCACCAAGCCAGTGGCCGCGTCGTTCGCAGTGACGCGGCCCAGGAAGGGGGCCAAGGCCGACGTCACGGACAAGGAGAGCAAGGAAAGCCTGGACCTGGAGAGCGATGAGAAAAAGTACGAAGAAGAAGATGCAGACAACACGACGACAAGGCCAATTTCCAGGAAGAGCAACCAAACGAAGAAGCCTTCCGGCCCACGAGACCCGCTGCAGTGGTTTGGCGTGTTGACTCCCATGGCCTTACGACAGGCCCAGCAGGAGGCCATTGAGGTCATTGACAATATCGTGCCACGGCTGGCAGCACTCAGTGCCGAAATGGCCGCTGTGGAGATCGAAGTGCGGCGAGCGCGCAAGAAGAGGGCGCGGGCGGTCGTCTCGCAGCAGAAGGATGACAAGAGCTCTGAGACGACGACGAAAAATGAAGCAGCTGTTTCTGTTTGATCATTTATGCAGACTATGGAGTGCCTTTGAGCGACATACAACACAACCGACGCACTCGGCTCACGGCATTACGCCGCTTTTGCCTCTGCCTGCCCTATTTGAGCTGGCCAAACAGGTTGTTCAGCGACTCGGCCAGACTCGGGTGCGCCCACACAGCCTCCTCCAGATCCCACCAGCGCAGCCCGCCCATCATCGCCGTCTGCACCATCGCCATGACCTCGCCGCCCTCGATCCCCAAGCACGTGAAGCCCAGGATCTCGCCCGTCTCCACATTGACCGTCGCCTTCATCAGACCGCCCGTCTCGTCTGTCTCCAGCGCCCGCGCCACGTACGCCATGGGCATCGACACCGTCTTGACATGGCTGTAGTCGTTGCTGCTCAAGCTGGCAGCCGTCACATCACGCTCGTGGATGCCGACGTGGCCGAGCTGCGGGTCCGTGTACACCACGTACGGCACATAGTTGCGCGACTTGGACGAGGCCGTCGTGAGAAGGGGCTCCTTGTCGCCACGCCCGGGGATCTTGCTGGTCCGCGGTAGCAGGTTGGCTGTCAGGATGCGGTAGTCATCGTATGACATGTGCGTGAACGCCGGTCCGCCGTGCACGTCGCCCAGAGCGTAAATGCCGGATGCGCTGGTGGCCAGCTTGTCGTCGACGACAATGTGGCCCCGAGCGTTCGTCTTGACGCCGGCCACGTCGAGGCGAAGGTCCTCCGTGTTGGGCTTGCGCCCGGCTGCCAAGAGGATGTGGCTCACGCGGACATCCTTCTTGCTGACTTGCACGTGGTCCGGTCCGGCAACAGCAATCTCGGCGGCAATTGGGCGCTCGTCTTGGGTGTCCTCGCCACCCGAGGCAGCCACGGTGGTCACATCGGCCGACAGCAAGACCGTGGTGCCCTCGTCCTGCAGAATCTTCGTCAATGCCTCAGCGACATCGCTGTCTTCGCGCGGCAGCACCTGCGGCCCATGCTGGACGACGGTGACCTCGGCACCGAGACGACGAAAGAGCTGCGCAAACTCGAGGCCAACATACCCACCGCCCACGACGAGGAGGTGCGCCGGCACAACGCCCAACTGCATGATGGACGTGGAGTCCAGCACACGCGCTGGCGGCACGGATTCGAGCCCCGGCAATCCCGGCCGAGCCGGACGCTCGCCCGTGTTGAGGAAAATGAGGTCGCCTTCAATCGTTTTACGAGGGCCGGCGGTCGTGGGCGTGATCTGCAGAGTCTTGGGCCCAGAAAAGGCCGCCGACCCGCGGTACACGTCCACGCCGGCACGCTCCAACCGCCCCTCGCTGCCGCCGCGGAAGGAGGCCACAATGTCGCGCCCGCGCTGGCGCACTTTGACCATGTCGACGCCCAGTTCGGCGGGCGTCTTGTTTTTCGGTCCAACACCGTAGTCGGCAGCGCGGCCAGCGAGGTGCGCCACGCGGCCCGAGGCGACCAGCGTCTTGGTCGGCGTGCAGCCCACATTGACGCAGGTGCCGCCGATGGCGCTGCGCTCGACAATGGCCGTTTTGCGGCCGACGGCGGCAAAGGCAGAGGCCAGCGGCGTGCCCGACTGACCCGAGCCGACGATGATGGCGTCGTAGTGGACGGCGGATGCCATGGTGTGGAGACTGCGGCGAGGATTGAGCAGCGTGGGGTACGAAATGTACGAAATGCGATACGCGATGCGATGCACAATGCGATGCGAGATGCAGGATGTGTGCATCAATACGGTCGAAGCAGGTGACGGATGGGCCCAGTAGATGAATTGTGATGAGTGTCAAGTCATGGTTGGCGTGCAATTGATTTACAGTGTTGAACAAAGAGATATGCTGCCTTGAAAGCTTGTCTTCGTAGACGAGAGCTGCAGCGCAGATCCAACCAGTGATGTCAGGGTGCAAGCTGCTTCCCCTCACTTGGAAGCTGTGTGCGGCCGCGCCGTATGCTGGCTTGCACATGAGTAATCAACCAACGCCCAGTTCCTGGTGCTTGTAATTACAACTTGCGAATTTCCGTTCTAGTGATTTGTTACATCTATTAAACGTTTATTGTATATTCTGTATATATAGGATATATACGATTAAGCGGCTTCGTTTCGTATGTCCATAGGAAGAGTTTGCTGGCACCATCTTCGACAGTATTAGAAGCCCGAGGGTTCAGGTTTCTCGGGGAACGCGGGCTTGCTCAGGTTGCTGCGGCACTCGTGTTTCCAATTCTTCGGCGTGTACTTGTCCACGATGGACTTGAAGGCTTCCTGCGTCGGTTTGTTAGTATTTTGTTTCTTGTCTTCCTCTCTGTCTTTCGTTTTCAATCGGTGTGACTTTAGTAGCGGCGACATACCAGTGTGCAAAACGACTCATCACCGTCCAAGTGCTTGCCGGCAGGTTTGCAACCCGGGATCGGCACCACCTCGTCGTTGTAGCGGATGCGCACGTAGTAGCCGTCCATCTTGTGCTTGTCCACGTCGGTCAATGCTGACGTCGGTTTCCGGCCAATGTCCGCAGGGGCAGCAGCCTTCTTGGACGGTGGCAGGAACGACGGCAAGTAGGCAGACCAGCTCGTGGCTACTGGTGCGGCTGGCGGGGCCGGCGGGAGCGTCGCGGTCGGCGAGGCTTCGGATGCTGGCTTCTTGAACAGCTCCACGGCCAGGTGGCTCGTAAACGGCGGCCATGTGGGCATGGTGTGGCCCAGGCTGGTCAACACGGCCGCCAGCGTCGTGTCGTGGCAGCCGCTGAGGCCGAAGCGGAACAGGCCGTTCTGGCCGCTGGTGCCCGCGGACTTGGCCTGTGCCACCATGCGGTCCGTCAGGTCGCCCATGAGCCCGCCAATGCCGAGTGTGCGGTACTCGAGCGACTCATGGTAGCCGGCAAACCACTCCTCGAGCGCCACCTTGTCAATGTTGCGCCGGACCTGCTCGTCGTAGAATTCCTTGGGCAGGCGCGTCTCGGGCCCGTGCGCCAGCGTCGCGTTGATGGTGTCCATGACGCCAGAGAGCCGTGGCCGTCCGTCCACGGCCACGCGCGGCGCGTCGGGGTCCATCCAGCGGCCAATCTTTTTGGTGACGTACGCCAGCTCGTCGGAGTCGTTCCACCGCTCGGCCGCACGCTGCGCAAACGCCCGCGACAGGGCCGCAAAGCGCCGGCAGTTGCTGTCATTGGGGAACAGCGTCTCGTCGGCCGGGGCGCGGGAGACGATTGTGACGGGCGCCGCGTTCCGGTCGCGGTCGGGGTACAGGCCGGTAAACGCCTGCTGCATCGACTCGAGCGCGCGCGGAATGGGCGTGGCCCGCAAATAGAACAGCCGGTCGGGGTCGTCGGGGCCCAGTTGTTGGGGCAAGTAGCCGAGACGCTCGACGTACAGCTGTCGCAGCCGCTGGCCCAGCCGCAGCGTCGTTGCACGGCCCGGGTCCGTCAGCATGCCCATGTCGCAGAGCGCGTCCAGCTCGCCCTTCTTGCCCGTGGCCAGCACGGCCGTGTCATTGGCGCCAAACGTCTCGAGACGCCGCCGCCACGCGAGCGTCCCCAAAGGCTTTGTGGCCGCGCCGCCGCCGCCCACGCCGACACCGGCGACGCCGGGGTCCTGGTCGTCCTCGAGGACGACGGCGCGGAACTGCTTGACGGCCGAGCAGTAGGGCCAGAAGGGGTGCAGGCCGGCATTCTGGAACCGCGGCGAGACAGGCGTGCGCTCGCCGTGGCGCATCAGGACTTGGACCAGCTGCAGCTCGAGGCCGGCCGGGTAGAGGCGGCGCAGCTCCTCGTCTGTGTACGGCGTGCGCGGTACGAGGGACGTCATGCTGGTGGTTGCAGAGGGCGCGCGAGGTCCAAGAAACGAAAATGTCTGCAGGAATGCGGCCTGACCTTTGTCCAAAGGGCGTCAGGGGGGAAACAGGGAAGCAGGACAATGGCAATTGGAATCGTGTTCAAGTGGAAAATGACTCGACCTTGGCTCGAGAGCACCTTCCTGTGCATGTCGTATTTGGCGGAGAGTCCTAAACAGGAAGGCGGGCTTGTTGGACACTGTTAGTCAACGCCTGCCATTGCTGGACAGCACTGCTCGTGGTCCTGTCACGACGCACTATTCGCTGTATTTCCGTGCCTCGCCGCCTGTCTTTGCCGACTTTAGTGGGTAAACAGGCAGGAAAGCCGATAGCCGGACGGCCCCGTTTGGGCGTACATGACGCCTGCTGAGCGCTGCAGCTCTGAATTTACAGGGCCCTCGGGGACAATTTTGCCAGGTAATGGACAGCCCACTTATTTTTATTTTCCGCCAAGTAGCTTCATCCAGAAGCAAAAAACAACAGCCAGCATCTGTCCTTGGACCACAACCGCATCGCCGCATCGACAATCCCCCCCTTCCTTTGACCACACACGGTCTGCCAGACGGAACCGATGAGGGAGTCGCGCGCCATCTGCATGCTCTGCCGAGCACGGCAATCCGTCCAGGCGGCGGCACGTCAAGAAGCTCTCAGCAGCCAACCACGGCGACGATGGCACACGACAACAGCCACGGCACACCCGCGGATCCCCTTGGTGGACGGCGTTGCGGTCCATGACGGCTCGCGGACCGAGTACCGGAGCGCCGACATTTCTCGCAGGCCAGGAGGGTCCGCGGCGACAGCAGCCCGACTCACGTCTCGGTCACGGATTACAAAACAGCCGCCGGCCAACGATGCGGCACTGGCCGTCTTCCGGGACATCATCGAGAACCAACAGCAGTCCGAGCACGAGCAGACAAGACGAGAACAGGAGGGACTTGCCGTCACGGTGGCGGATGCAGTGCAGGACGGGGGCGACTTGGACAAACTGGCCCAGGAGCTCAGCAAGGCACATGTCGACGAGTTTCAGGAGCAGCAGCAACAGCAACAGAAACAGCAGCATCAGGAGCAGCCGAGCGCAGGACGACCGGCAACGGCGAGCGTCGACCTGTACAAGCACCTGGTGAAGCTGACGCAGCTGCGGTCGCAGACAGACGCAACCACCGCCACGCTGTTCCACCACTTCGAGACGAACATGTATCCGCACATGACCGAAACATCGCGCAGACTGCCTGCCCTCTTCCGCTACACGGCCCACCAGCTCGTGCGTGAGGTATCGACCGCCAAGATGGCCGACCCCTACGCCGAGAATCTCCCGAGCTTGGCCCGCATCACGCAGATCCGTCGGCAGCTCGACCTGCTCAACAAACCGGAGGCATGGGTGCCGCTTGTGCTGACGGTTGCGACGGAAATTGTTCATCCCGGCGGTGGCAGCAGCAGCAGCAGCAGCAGCAGCAGCAGCGGAGGCGAGGCTAGCAATGGCGTCGATAGCAGCGGCGGAAGCAACGTCGGCGACCCATCGTCGGCCGTCGAAAAGAGGACGGCCCTGCTGGCAGACCTCGTCGAGGCCTGGCGCATGTTCAACCTGCCAGATATTGTGGTCACGGACGAGGAGGCGCTCCAGAACATGCCAGTCACCGAGTTCCGCATGGCGTCGCCGGACCCGGCCCGCGCCGAAAAGTATGCCAGGCGGCGCAACATCCAACTGGGTCTGTCGCTGCTGTTCCCCCGCTACGCGCCGGAGCAACTGCGCGAGCTGGCACCAGCCGTGTTGGCCACGTATGCCATCCTCACCGACCCAGCCATCTGCCCGCCCGAGATCAAGGACAGGGCGCACGAGTTTGTCGACGCAATCGAAAAGGTTGTGACGACGACAAACTTGAAGCGTCGCATTATCCCCGCCATGTACACGGAGCACCCGGCACTCGGCGCCTACGTCCTCTCGCGGCCAATCGTCGGCTCGCCCGCCGAGACGAACAAGGCACGTGCCCAGAATGCGCTGTCGCGCGTCGCCACGAGCTCCAAGGACGCCCGGCGGGCCACACTCGACAGCATCTACCAGCAGCTGGACCAGGCGCTGCGTGTGCGCAATACCGCGGCCTGCGAGGCCGCGTGGGACCGCTTTTGGTCGGCCGTGTCGGTTCCGGACGTCGAGGGTCCCGCGCGGATGCGTGGCAGCAGCGACCTCCTCGACTACTTTATCATGGTGTTTACGACGCTGCGCATGTCGGACCGAGCCATTGCCGTCTGGAATCTGATGGCCATGGCCGGTATCAAGCCCACGCTGCGCACATGGACGTCCTTTATCGAGGGCTTCAAGCGGGCCAACAACCCAGCCGGCATCCATAACATCTGGGACCGCCTTGTGGCCTCGGGCATTCAAGTCGACACGGCCGTGTGGACGGCACGCATCTCTGGCTTGATCCAGTCGGGCGCTGCCGAGGCCGGCATGCAGGCGCTGGACGAGATGCAGCGCCTGTGGGACGCGTCGCGGGAAGAGCACGTGCCTGGTAGTGGCGCCAAGACGGACGGACGCCCACCCAAGGCCGTCAAACCGACCATCGAGCCGGTCAATGCCGCCATTGCCGGCATGCTGCGGCGAGGCGACCTGGCTGCCGCCAAGAAGGTCCTGGCCTGGGCAGGCCGCCACGGCATCGAGCCAGACGTGATCACCTTCAACACCATCCTGCGGCCGCTGGTGCGCGAAGGCGCGGCCGACGAGGTCGCCGGTCTGCTGGAGATGATGCGCCAGCGCGGCATCCGTCCCGACGAGGCCACCATTACGATCCTGCTCGACGACACAATTGGCGGCGGCGCCATGGCAGGCCGCAGTCCCCGCGAACGGGCCGAGCTGGTGAAGCAGGTGCTCGCCGACGTGGAGGCGGCCGGCCTCGACGCCAACCAGCAAAACTACGCCAAGATTATCTACCTGCTGCTGCAGGGCGGCGAGAAGGGCCGCCACAGCACCGGCGGCGACGCCATCAACGACCAGGCCGACGCGGCCGTGTCCGTCGTGTTCCAGCGCATGCGCCAGCGCGGGATCCCCATGTCGTCCCACATCTACACGATCCTGGCCGAGAACTACTTTATGCGCACTCCGCCCGACCTCGATGCCGTGCGGTACCTGGTCGAGCACGGCCAGCCCGGCGGCCCTGCCCGGTACCAGACGGGGCAGACCAGCCCGTCCGAGAGCCCGTCCGAGAGTCCGTCCGGGAGCCCGTCCGGGAGCACGCCCGATCCTCTGGACACGGCGCGTCCGCCGCCCACGTTTGACCGCGTCTTCTGGGAGCGCATCGTGCGCGGCTTTTCGCAGGTCGGCGACACGGCCAGCGCGCTCAAGTACTTTGCGCACATTGCCGACTCGGTGTCCGTGACGTCGTCGACGCTCGAGGACCTGCTGCGGGCGCTGGTCCACAACAACGAGTGGGAGGCGGCGTCCCAGCTCGTGGCCAAGGTGCAGGCGCAAAAGATGGTCAGGGTGCAGAGCGGCATTGGAGGCGAGACGAGGCGGCTGGTGGACGCGCGGCAGTTCCGGCACCGCTTCTGGCACCTGGCCGCCGAGCATGGTCTGTTGAAGGATTAGTATCATGCCCGAGTACACGAACATTGTAGAGGGGACACATTGAGCGCGTGTATAAAATAAAGACAGTTACGCCATCCATGACAACAAAAGCATGTGTGTATACATTGCATCCAGCACATACAGAATAGACAGCTGGGCCTATCAGCTGCCTGTACCATACTAGAGAGACAATGGAAGAAAATCGCAATCCGTTTTGCCAAAAATGCCCACCGCAACGCCAATCCCAAGTGCAGGCCAAAAATCCACATGCAGGTCCCATACCCAGATCCCATTCATACAACGTTATCCAAACAAGCAAAGCAAACCGTTGTCGCCGTCGCATTCCTCATGACTCGTCCATTGTATCGTCTTCAGGCTGTGTCGTATCGCCGGTCGCAGCCTCTGCGTCTCTGCTGCCGTGGTTCTCCCGCAAAATGTTGAGGATGTTGGTGAGGGCCTCGGGCTCGACCGTCATGTTGTTCCCGCCATTTCCGCCGTCGTTGGCCTGGGACGAGCTGCCCTGCTCGCTGCGCATCTCGCCGTTGCGGCCGAGATTGAGGCCGCGGATCCGCTCGAGATGCTTGCGTGTGGACCCTTCAATGTACTCGAGCCGCTCGCGCCGCCAGGACTTGCTGTCGCCGGCTCGTCCACCACCACCACCACCACCACCAGTCTTTTCCTCTTCGTCGTCGAGCGCCACGGCTGCTGCGAGGCCCGGCGCCTTTTGCCGCAGCTCGCTCGACAGCTTGCGCAGGGCCGGCAGCTGCGACAGCGCAAAGGCCGTGGTGGTTGTAAGCGGTTGGGCGGCGTCGCTCTCGGTCAGCGGGCCGCGGTCGAGCAAGAACGCCAGCGACGCCCCAGAGGATGCAGAGAAGGACGGGTCGGCCCCTTGCTCTTGGTCTGCTGCCGGTCCACGCTCCGTTCCCGCCAGCATCCGCAGCCGCGCCAGCATCGTCTCGTTGCGCTGGGCTTCGACGTCCAGCAGGTGGCCCAGTTTGAGGGACGCCTGCAGCCGGCGGTGCAGGTGCGCAATGGACGCGTCGTCCGCGGCGCCGTCTCCGGCGGCGCCCTCGGCAGCAGCAAAGTCCAGTCCCTCGTAGTGCGCCAGCCGCATCCAATCGCGGTCCTCGGGCTTCACGCACAATATGTTGCGCATCGTGTACAGCTCAAACTTGTCAAAGTTGCGGTCGATGGAGGCGCACAGCAGCGTCTCGAGCTGGTGCGTGCCATTCTCGACCTCGTGGCGGTGGGCGTCTTCGGCGGCGGCCTCGAGCTCGTCCGGCGACAGCTTCGCCTCGCCGCGTCCTCGTTGGAAGGCCACCGGCTTGAAACCGAGGCTGGCGGGTGGTTGGCGGAGGAGCGCCTGTTCGACGCTGTTCAGCGCGCGCTCGGCGAGGATGTTGACGCTGTTGATGATGTCGTCGAGCAAGCTCTACATGCTGTCAGGCCTGGCTGCCGAGATGCAACGCGAGACAAACAATAAATAAGAGATATAAGATCGTCTCAGAGGCAACTTACCACTGGCGGGTAGCCAAAGTGCTCTGTGAGCAGCTCCGTGTCTGCGGTGGCCGACGAGGCCATGGCGGTGATTGTTGAACGGCAAGGACGGGCCGTCCAATGCAGTCGGTGTACTCCCGGGTGGTTGCGACCGTCAATTATGGCCGACGTTATGTCGTCGTCGTTGATTCTCGTGCAAAAATACTATTTACTGTGTGGTCTTCGTATCTTTCGCTGTAACGCGACGCGTCTGGCGCATTTAGTTAGAGGGGGCCTGCCAGAGGCCGTTGGTGGGTAAAAGAGGCAGTTGCGCTAAACAGCCGCCGACAAACATTCGCACCTTCCCCTGTCGCAAGGCCCCATCGCTGTCAATGGGCAACTGCAATAAAGAGATTAGTCATATATCCTCATTCGGCAATAGCGCCATGGTGGGCGTTTTCTAGCGCATACGTCACTGTCTGCGCTCAGCCTGGCTCTTTCTTTATCGAGACAAGCACGAATGTGGCAGTCCAAACCGCTTCATAGGCGGCCGAATAACGTACAACAAAGAAGACAATAAATACGGCTCTGCGTCTGTCGACTCACGTTCGCCTCCTCTCCTTCGGTGTCGTTTTTGTACATTTTCGTGTCCACACATGGGAACGGGGGACATACAAACCGCACAGCATCTGACCCATCATGTCGGGCTTTTCCAACGTCCTCAAAAACGGCTGGCATCCGGATAAAAATGCCGATTTCAAGAAACAGGTCGTGAGTGTAATGGGCCAGGACATGCTGCACTGATACGAGATGGCAGAAACTAACAGACCAGACGGGCATCTGGAAGAAGGACGACAGCCAATACCAGTCCGAGGCGCGCGCCAACCACGCATCGCGGCCGCTGTCGAGCCTCCGCGATCCAGCCTCTTTTGGCCCCCCGCCACGCCATGTAGCCCTTGGAGGCGAGCCCAGCGCCAGCGGGACGGCCGTCAGCACGCACACCAGCACACATTCTAGCTCACACCATGCACCGGCAGCAGCATCGGGTCCGCCTTCCCTGCCATCCCGGTCGCGCGCAGCGTCGTCCGCGCCCGAAGACGACCAGGAGCCCCGGGGACCACAGCCCTATCGCATGGACACGACCGGCCTCGACACGTCGCATCTGCCCCCACCACCCACTCGCCGAGACGGCAGTGGCATCAGCCGCGGGCCCGTGCCTGCGCCGCCGTCGGGTCCTACCAAGCGTCCAGCAGCCATTCCGCCTGGTTTGCCGCCCCGTCTCCCGCCTCGTTCGACGCCCTCACCGAATCCACCTGGCGGTGCTGGCAGCACTACAGCACACCCGCCTCCGCCGTCACGATCGCCGGCCAGTGCCCGACTCTCTCCTTCTGGCACAGGCAACTCCGGCAGCGACACGTACATCAACCAGGATGCCGTGAACCGGCTGGGCCGCGCCGGCATCTCTGTGCCCGGCCTCGGCATTGGGGGCGGTGCAGGCAGCGGCGATGCCCAGCAGCCGACGGCCCTCTCGGCGATTAATACGCTAGCAGCAACATCCTCGTCCTCACACGAGCCAGCGCAGACGGTGAACCATGCGCCGCCAGCGTCGCAGCTGGGTGAACTGCAGGCACGGTTTGCCAAAATGGGGACCGGGGGCGGCGTGGGTGGAGCCAGCCGTACACCATCACGATCACCGGCTCGCCTTGGTGGAGCCAATGCCAATGCTCGCTCGTCTGCCGCGGTGTCTGGATCGTCTACGCCGTCTCTGTCTACGGGCGCAGCTGCAGGTGTGGCAGCCGGGAAAAAGAAGCCGCCGCCGCCGCCACCAGCGAAGAAACCCGGGTTGGCAGCCGTGAAACCAAACACAACCGGGGGCGGCAGCGGGTACAAGACAGACGACGAGGATGACGCGCCACCGCCGATTCCAATGGCAACACGGCCGCAAGGGTGGTGAGGGATACTATTTTTGTCCAACCTTGCAGGAGTTTGTGATAAAAGGGGCGCGGGCATTGTTAAGAGGCATGATTTGAAGAGCTGTAAAGGTCTAGGGCGCTTGCAAGGTTACTGGTCTGTGCTACATTTGCATTTTTGTTTGTTCATTCGCATCGGTCAATGCACAAGTACGTCATGTGGGGGAGTCTGGAAACATTAAATTGCCAAGTTAAATTGCCGACTTTTGATATCCATTTTCTTTTCACTTTGAAGGAAGGCGTCATCATCTGTCTTTTAAAATGTACAACAAGGTGACCGACAATCCACCCCTCAAAAGTGAAAGGTAGAGAAAAGGTATAGAAAATCCGTCCGGCCAGAGTGCGCCCGACGTTACGACTGCATATTCGGCGGTCTAGGCAATCCATGGCACCAACCATCGTATCCGTCCGTAACGGCAGGGACACTCCCCGGCACCGAGCCTCGCTCCAAAAGATGCAAAAAAGGACAGCAATATTTACACCTTAATGGACTTCAGGCCGTGCTGCCACACGGTGATATACGGCGTGGTGCCGTCCTCGCGGTAGTTGAGGAGAACGACCCTGTGAAGTTAGAAAACAGTCCCAGAAAAAGAGAAGAAAAAAAAAACGGAGATATTTAGTGAACGTACAGGCCGTCGGGGTTCATCGACTCGCCGGTGTAAAACTCGTAGTCCTTGAAGTTGGGCAGCAGGGTCTCCTTGACAAACTTCTGGGCGCCCGTCTCAAAGGTCTTGATCTCGTCCTCGGACTTGCCAGCCTCCTGGAGAGCGGCCTTGACGGCCTTGAGGTAGCCCTTCAGGTACGCCAGGTAGCCCTTCTTGTCAAACGAGGTGTTCTGGAGACGGAACGAGTGGATAATGTTGTTGACACGGACAGCGGTGTCCTCGACGCCCTCCTCGGCCTCCTCAGCGGAAGCGTTGGCACCAGTGTCTGTGGGCAGGGGACAAGGTCAGCGGTGAGAGGCACTCGAAGGGAACAAGATATACGAAAAGCAAAAGCAAAAGCCGGAGCCATGGCAAAAGGGAATGGCATATGATTACGTACCGACCGAGACGGCCTCCTCGGTGATCATGGCGCAGTCGGCCTCGAAAACGATGCCGCCAACATCCTTGAGGTCGTACGAGTCCGAGATGATCTCGTCGCCGGTGAGGATATCCTAGACGAGAGAAACATGTTAGCACGGCGCCAAGCTGCGGTCACATCAAAAACAAGCTGTTCTGTCCAAGGGCAAAAACATCGGCGCTGGCCAAATTGCTCAATGGAATAAATTCCACCAGAAAATGGCACTGGGGGTCGCACGGTGTCGTTCTTACCGAGTAGATAAGCATCTTGACGGTATTGTGTGAGGATGAACCGTGAAAAGGGAGGGCTGAACGGGCGGTTGTCGAGATGGGGGAAGCGAAGTGTGATCTCGTAGGGGTCGAAGAAGGGGAAGAAAAAAGACGTCGTCTACGAATATATTGATTTTTCCTCCCCTTCTCTCCTCTCCTCCTTCCTCGAAAAAAGAGAGGGGCAAAAAAAATAAAGAAAAATGTATCTTTACTTTGGCGGGGTAGGTCACTGGACACAGAAAATTGCGTGCAGAGTACAAGCCCAGACCCATGCTTCGCTGGGACAACCAAAACTCAAGGCGCTAGCCAGATTACGGGCCTAGCGCATTCAGTTCTCAACCGGACAGCCAATCAAATGCGTACGCCGTCTCAGGTACTGTGAACGTGGGATATTGCCTGAGGCAGAGAGGTACGACCTGATCCATCAGATGTACACACGTGACACGTCACGCTAAAAAAAAAATTTGCTACTCAATAACACCGATACTTCAATCGGCCGACGCGCTTGCTCCGAGGCTGCAGGGGTGAGGAATAGGAGGCAGACCCTGTCGTCAGACGCGTCAACTGAAGGAGACGCGAATCGAATGAAACGGGCAGAACGAGATGCAAGGGAGAGCAACCAATTGCAGGCAGCACGCGTGCCAATGGCGACAGAAACGAAGCAGCTGGATGACCACAGCAGAGAAATGGGCCGACGTGGCGTGGCAGGTCGAAGAATGCTGATAGTCGGTCACAGAGGCCCAATCGGACGTTCGACTCCGTAATCAGATAGTAGAGAGCGGATGTCAGCGGCGGAGAAGGCAAAAAATGGTGTCGACAGAACAGGGGCAAATAAAATGAAGAACTAGAGGCACTTACACAGTACAGGCGCCTCTTGCCCTGTTGCCCTCTGCAAAAAAGTGCTAGTGTTCGGCATCCGCGGAGTGGCCGCTGGCCAAGCGAAATTGCCCCTAAACAGCTGCTAGGACCCTCAAAAACTGCCATAACGGCCATTCCACAGCGCCAACCTAGTTCCTGCCCTGACATGATCGTCTTTGAACTCTTCTTTTCTCAGCGTCATTTCCGCTCCTGCCTGTATTGCCTGCCATTGCAACGAGCATTTTCACATCCTCAACTTAATCTTCTTTTGTCGTCCTTTTCTTCCGTCGTCTTCCTCTTCCCACGTTGTCCTCCCCGGCCATCGCTTTGCGTTTCCCCCCTCGCTCCCACGTCACTCCTTTCGCATCTGCCGCCGGCTGCCATTTCAATCCAACGCCATACGTTGTCCCTCGCCCACACCCTCTTAACTCACGCGCCCAGAGTCGCACGACAAATCTTCACTTCTTTTAATTAACGGCCGACGCCTGCTCCACTACCGAACGAGCCTCATCCGTCCTCTCCTGTTCTGGCTGTGCCTTTTACCGTCTTTTTCTAGCCTCTCCTCTTTTGCTTCTCCTCATTCTCTTTTGTTGCTTCCCGACATACCCGTCGTACGTTCAATACAGCTTGTTTCGACGCCTTTCATTCTCGACGCGGCGCTTTGCGACGTTCCAACCCACACTCACCTCCTTTTCGATCTTTCCGACCAACTCTTCCTTTCGACACGTAGAAATTGGCTTCCCCTCTCTCTGCATGGTCTCCGTCGACGCCATGGCCAATGCCACGTTCTCCGGCGACCTGCCGCCGCTGCCGGCCTACACTCTGGAGCCGATGCCGCGTCTACTGCCATTCGTCTCCGACTTTACCCTCTCCCTCGTCATGCCACACATCGCATACTGGGTTGTGTCGGGCTTCTTCCACGTCATCGATACTCTCGATCTCTTCCCCGCATACCGCCTGCACACTCCTGAGGAGATCTCCGCGCGCAACCACGCGTCACGCAGCGAGGTCGCCCGCGATGTCGTCATTGAGCAAATCATCCAAATGATTACATCCGCCTTCTTATCCTACACCGAACCCGTGCAGATGACGGGCATGGAGGACTATGACGTTGCCGTTTGGGCCCAGCGCATCCGCCTGGCCCAGCGCGCACTGCCGACCGTGCTCGGCCTTGTTGGTCTCAATGCGTCCGCCCTCGCAAAGAACATGTCTGCGTCGCACCCGCTGCTGGCCGGCGCGCTCGCCGGTGGCCAGTACCCGTTCCTGACAACCGCGCTGTCCGGCAGCGGCAGCGGCAGCGGGTCGGCCACCGCTGCGGTGCCCGCTTTTGCGTCGTGGGAGCTCATGCTGGCCAAGGCTATCTACTGGGTTGTCGTTCCGCTGTTCCAGTTTTGGTTCGGCGTCATCTTCATGGATGCCTGGCAGTACTTCTGGCACCGTGCCATGCACGTCAACCGCTGGATGTACGTCCACTGGCACTCGCGCCACCACCGCCTGTACGTGCCGTACGCCTACGGCGCGCTTTACAACCACCCGGTCGAGGGCTTTGTGCTGGACACCGCCGGCGCCGGCTTGGCCTACAAGGTGTCGTTCATGACCCCCCGCATGGGCCTGTACTTTTTCGTCTTCAGCACCATCAAAACCGTCGACGACCACTGCGGCTACGCCTTGCCGTGGGACCCCCTGCAGCACATCACGAGCAACAACGCGGCCTACCACGACATCCACCACCAGAGCTGGGGCATCAAGTCCAACTTCTCCCAGCCCTTCTTCACCTTTTGGGACCGCCTCCTGGGCACGATGTGGCAGGGCGATACCTCGCTCAAGTACGCACGCGACCGTAACACCGCTGCACGCAAGGCAGCCGCCGCTGCCAACGGCAATGCTAATGGCAGTGCCAATGGCAGTGCTAATGGCCGTGCTAACGCCAAGCCATCGACACCGGCGAGACTGTCCACACCAACAATCGAGGAAGACTCGGAGTCGACGACGGCGAGCGAAAAGGCGTCAAAGCCGCGCAGGTCGGCCCGCTCAGCAAAGAAGTCGCCCAAGCCCAAAGCCAAGACGGCCAAGGCTTAGACGAGCGGACAAAAATGAGTCCAAGCCGACCATGCGTCCAAGCTGACGGCAATGTTGCGCGGTGAGGGCCCCATTGCCTCATCGACCCTCTCATTAATTTTTATTTGATTTTCTCTTCCTCTCTTCTTGATTCCTCTATACACCCCTTTTAATGATGATTTTGTTGCAACATCCCATCTGAACATTCGCTTCACATGTACCTAGCTTCTTCCCCTTCTCCTTTTCTCTCTCGGCCGCTTGACGCCTCTCCTTTCACGATACGCCTTTTTGTTTCTTTCTTTTCAGGAATAATTGTGTTATCGGAGGACAATCCGAGGCAAGCAAGGCTCTAGTATGCCTTCTCTGCCCAGTCTTACTTTTTTTTAACTTTTATACTTCTTTACGTCTTTACTTTATTTTGTTATTCTTGTTTTGTTATCCTGGGCATCGGGCAGGCGTTTGACCTTTTTTCTGTCGTTTGCTTTCCTTCTCTTCTATTCTTTATATATTGCCGTCTACGGGTGGACTGGGCGGGCATGGATCGTTTTGACAGTCCACAATACAGAGTATTAATGTCGTCGTTGCTACTCCTCTTCTTTCTTCTTATTCTTTTTCTTGTGTTTTATTCTTACCTCTGGTCTCTGCCTGGTCTTTGTGGCCTTAATGAGTTATATTTTGGATGCCGGGCCTCTTCTTTAATTTGCCTGCTTTCTTTTCCTCCCTGTTTTGTACTTGGAACACATAAGAATGAGCATACACGAACAACCCACATACTAACATGACGTCCACGCCAAATACGGTACCTCTGTAGTGAAGAGAACGTGAAGACCAAATGCAGTGCTATCCGACGTGCTAGGGAGCGTGATTACGTGCAACAGTCTCAAAGAGAAGACGATTCACCGAGAAACCAGTCGGTTTTAATAGAACGCAATTTCGGACGGCTCAGACCCTGTTATGATTTGAGGACTTATTTTGGGTTTATTTATGTCGTATATATCAGACAAACAAGGCCATTTATTTCCTAGTTTTATTCTCCTCAAATGAGACTTATATATAATAAAGACGAGCGAATATAACCAAAGAAGGGCTAAATTTAAGACAAAGTTGAATTATTACCTCCTCCCCCCCCCCCACGACAAAACACATATACTCAAAACATCTAGAGAGGACAGCAACGTTTCGTCCGTACTAGTGAAAATAGCCTCGCCTTCCCGTGCCGTCCCGTTATTTGACGTCGCCCTCTGTTCGAACTTATTCTCGAACAACCAATTTTGAGCCGTTTAATGACATGGGCTGTTGCAGTACGACGGGATCGCATATACCCCCGTGTCTTTACCCTGCCAGCAACAGGCATTTCCTTGTACAGCCTGCAAAGCTACACCGTACGGTGTGCTACGACGGACGAGCCGTCCACTCGACCCGGGTGGCTTTTCATACAATTTAATATTGGGCGCTGCAAAACGCAAGTTGCAGACGTGGAGAGCGTGAGCCGCTGGGTCTTGTCTTTGTACCTTCATTATTGATAAGCTACAAGCTGCGAGACTGGGGAAGATTTGTGGAGGATTCCGTGATGCATCAGCCTGGTCGAAACCAGAGGTTACAGATGCAGGTTGCCACAGTCAACGTTTTATATGTACAACATACTGATAATGGCAAGGAAGATAGATGCATCTCGCGATCTTTGGTTGAAGCTGAGTTTTGTCGCCTTGAACTTTCCCTACCCCACGACACGGTTGTCTCTTTCCGAAATAGAAAGTTGTGCCTTTTGGACCGGGCTCGATCGTTCCTGCAGACAATTGTGCGTTAGCGTTGTGTTGAACATTGCCTGACCACCCGCTCCTCGTTCCCCCTGGAGCTATTGGCGCAAGCGCCTGCAGTCTAACAGGCAGGAGTCGCCGCTATGCCGAACAGGGCTTAAGATTGACTGGGGATGAGAAACGGGAAAGAACGATGAACAGTGAATAGGGGACAATATGACGAGAAGCAAGCTGCAAAAGCGCAGACTGGAGCAAGGGAAGGAACGACCGGAAGACGGGGGTTTTGCCTCACGTTGAGGGACAATTTCCTGCGTCGTTTCCAAAACGATAGCTTGTTTCTTGGTTTCTCTCGCAAAATGCAGCGACACCAAACACAACCTTTTGCTTCAATGCTCAAACATCCTCCCTAGCCGGCATTGTCGTTACAGCAGACGATTACCGAGAGCCAATAGAGTCATTCGCCGGGCCCAATTCCGCTGTGGGCGATACTACATCCTGTGTGACAGGCACAGCAACACCGCATTGCAAAAGGTACTGTGCAATTGTTCTGCACTGCAGACCTGTTGCAGAGTTGAGGTCCCTGCAAATACATTGCATCGCCGTCTGTGAGCAAAGCTGCACGCCAAGACCAGCTACCCCTGTCAGCTACTTTGTCGGTGGTTCTGTCCTGGGCCCTGACTGGTCCTCATACCCCCCCTCCCCATTCATTGTCCGTCTCAAGAGGCTCATTGGCTGTCGCGTTGTGTTCTCCTTTGTGTTTTTTTACGTCGCTAACCTTGACAGTTTCAACACAAATACCACTCTGAAAGGAGCACCAATGCTGGCAACGCGTCAGGACGAACAAGTCGACAAGCAGCCGCAACACCGAAACTTGGGTACAAATCCACGGCCGTACTCAGCAGGCTCCTTTCATAGCCTTGTTTATTTCACACTGGCCCGAATTCGAGCTAAGACTCGGGGAAGAAACAATGAGAATAGAGTGGGCTCCTGCCAGAATGTCCAAGCGAGCTGAACGATCGGCAAGAAAGTAGTAAAACCGGGTCTTTGTCTATCGCTGTGCCAGGACCCCCCCCCATGTGGTCATCCCACACAAGATCTGTGGACGAGAAAGAAAAGAAATGGAGAACAGTGCGCAAAAGAGCTACAAAGTAGGCTGCTGCAGAATAACGCATGGTGTCTCGCCTGTCCTTTTGTGGAACAGGGAGAGACAACTGACTGACACCAGGCGTCATGGCACAGCAACTACCAGTCCGTGAGTGAATGCTACTGGACGGCGAGGGATGCTTTATGTTGTGGCATATCGTGTTATGTCGTGTTTCTCATCGTCGTCGGGCTGTCAAGTAAATTTCTTCCCTTCTTTCCGAACTTGATATCTTGTGCTCCGACGAGACAGCCGTCGCCCAGCTGAGCGGCATTTAGTCCGCTGGGGCATCTCATTTGGAGACCTGACAGAAACTAATTAAATCGACCACTTTTCGTTCTGGCGCCCTCGTCATGACCTTATCCTTGTTCAGCAGCCTCGAACAGCTTCGCCCCCTGTCCGTCTCAACTCAACTATCTTGAAATTCCTCCTGGTCCCCCTCCTTCTTTTCCTCACAGGTTTTCGTTCTTTTTCTTTCTCGTTTTTGCGCTTCCAACATCTTTTGGATATTTTGTCGTCCAGGGTCGTCGAGATACCACGACTCTTCTTTCTCTGATCTTCTTACACTTACTATTGAGTTTTTTCCAGCGGCCCTGTCCCAGTACCCCCTGATACCCTCCCTGGCAACGATACGGTCTCTCTAAGCGCCCGCAACATCAACTCCCTTATTTGGCTGCCTCGTTATCCATCGTGCCTATCTATCGACAGCTCGCAACTTTCTGGATTTGGAGAGCGGCGCACATCTTTTTTCTTTTCTTGAAACAATCGAAGTGGTAGAAAGGAAAACAGTAAATAGAACGAAACCAGGACCAGCAACATCATTGGCCAATTCAACCAACAGCTACATCCGGACCAATCTATCACGACCGCGCAAACTCGTCTCCAGGAACGACCATGGTCTCGGGAACCGCCTGTACCTGCGTCAAGCTCCACACGACACCATGATTGCGAATTTTGGGAGGCCAACAGTAGTAACGACAATTCCCAGTCATCCTTCTCGCTTCTCGATATCATCCTCGGCGCTTCACCCCTCGTCTCGCATTGCGTCTGTTGCCGCCATCATCCGCTTCGCTTTGCCGCTTCTCGCCGTCCGATTCGTCCGGGCCTGGCACTTTGCACCATATCTCCTGTTTCTGTGATTCCTGTCTCTTCGACAACACAGACGTACGACAAATCGAGACCGCAGCCAGCCGCGCCTGGCCCCCTTTGAGGCCCCCCAGAAAAATTAGACGCCGCCCTCATCCCCTTTCTTGTCCTCACGAACCCCTTTCATCTCTTGGTTTCCTGTTGTGTCTGTGTGATTGTTCCTTTTGCGTCCTCTTTCTACCTCGACCTATCGCCTCTTCGTCGCCTATTGCGCGGATCCTTTCCCATCGGCCAGTTGCATCGGATCTCCACTCTGGGCGGAACAGGCCCCAAGCGCCTGGCGCTTAAGTCGACATTTTTGGCATCAACCCTGGGAACTTTGCGACAACGCAATCTTGACACTCCTGCGCAAATACAAGAGCGTTGGAGAGCAGAGACGCCATGAATGCCAAGGATGTGGAAAGCGTCAGCGGCTCCAAAGCATTCTTATATGCCATGGACCCGACCACGACGCTGTACACTTTTTTCCTGTGAGTGTTGCTTCCTCTCTTTCGCTTTCATCCATTTCTTTCCTTTTTTGTTTTTATATCTGGGATATACTCCGTTCCTTCTTTTTCTTTTCCTTGGTCAAGTTTCTTTCGCCTCTTGTCGTTCATTTCTATTGCTTTATTTCATTCTCTTCATCTCGCCTTCTTTATCTTGATACTCTCTTTTGATTTTCATCTCCCGCTTTCTTGGTTTTATTTCAGCTTGCGCCTGGTTGGCCAATGCCTGCTGCTATTATTTGTTTTCCTATTGCCTCCACCTTTCAGGCCTTTCAGCTTTCAATTGCTTTCGTGCTGTTGCTTTTCATTTCCCTTTTCGGACGACATCGACGCAATCGACTATTCTCGCCCTGATAGTCCGAATTGCATATTTTCCTACTGCAACCTTATCTTCCCTTTTCAGCAGCTTTTGTGGTGGCTACCCACGCTTTTTGTCGTATGTTACCAAATTCCTTTTTTTCTGCATCTTTTCAGCCTGTCAGTCAACTATTGGACGCAGCAACACCAACCGACATCCCCGACAAACCCCATTTGCTACACCAAAAAGTCTGTGCTTGAAAATCAGGAGACAGAGGGCCAAGGGCCCAAGACATCTCTACCCACGGAGTGTCATCTTCTAGAAATACCGGCCGTGCTTCGCTTATCCCGAAATGACAACAGACCCCTGGCAACAAACGACACAGCAACGCAGACAAGTGTTCGTGTTGACGTGTCCAAGGCGTTCAGGGCGCGAACAAGAACGTGAGCTGCTTCACCCCGTCCGGCGTCCCCGTCAGCCCTAAACGTCCACTTTTGCACATCTGCACCCAATGGTTCCCCCAATCGTATTCACTTATTGCCCCAATTGCCCAATTGCCTAACACTGGCCCAATCAGACCCCTGCAGACCCCTGCTTCATCTTCCTTTCAGGCCCTTGCAGGTGCGACGCTTGATAGGCCAATTGTCCAAGCTTTGTCATTTTAAAAATAGGCTGAGGACATAGGGCAGATGAAAGGCAATCTGAGGGATCATAGAATGACCAAAGGAGGAAAAAGGTACAAACGGGCTAAGTGGCTCTTGTTTCATCCTCGGTCTTGGTTGAGGCTTGTGCCCGTCCTTTGATGCTTTGTTGTCATCCTCTAACAAGTGATCTGCCACACTCTATCAATACGGCATCCCATATACGGCTTGGTCTCCGGCGAGACATCAGCGCCAGTGATGAGGTTGTGCTTCCGTCGGGTTTCGTTTTGGGCCGTGTCAGTCTCCCATTGCAAGCTCGTTCTTTTTTCATCGCCTTTTTTCTCACTCTCATCTTTGCTTCTTCAGCCTCATCGGCCTTGTTTGTTGCTCAGCTGCTCATCATTTCCTCATTCGACTGGACCACGCATCCTTATCTCACCCAGCTCGTCGATATCCTTCTTCCCCGTGTTCTTCTTATTCTCACCTTGCTGCATTTACACTTTCCTCTTTCCCCTTTCAGCTTCGTTTTTGCTTGTCTGCTTTCTTGTCATCGTTTTCATCCTTGCCGACCTTTCCGTCATCCTTCTACCGTCTTCCATCATCCTTCTTCGTTTTTGGATAAAATATGGAGTACTGACCAGCTTCTCGTCACTTTCGTTCTCGCTTTCCAGACGAACTGATCCTTCCGTCAACATTGTCCGCCTACTTGGGTCGTGGGACAACTTCAGCATGACTTACGCTATGGACCGTGACAGCCGTCGGGACCGTGGCCAATGGCGAGGCTGCCACACCTTTTCCAATATTATCAGCGACGGCGACGCCCCTTCCAACAACGTACCCCGTTCTGGCGGGCTGAAAATGGGGCAGACCTATTATTACTATGTACGTCTTATTATTTCCCTACGTCTTTCTTAATAATTTCCCTTAGTTCCCTTTCTTAGTCCGCGTCTTATATCCTCATCGTTTGTTATTTTATAATTTACCTCCTCCCCCTTCCCTTCCTCTGGCCCCCTCTCTGTCTTTCTCTTGCTCACTCTCTCTCCTTCAACAACTAACATCGCCAAGTACGAGGTCGACGGTTCCATCGAATCTCACGATCCGGCCGTTCCATCCACCACCGCCTGCCCGTACCTACCTGGTCAACGTGTCAACACCCTCTGGGTTCCTATCGAGCAGTCTTCCCGCCAGCGGAGTGCTTCTGTCAACTCCCTACACCAGAGCAACTTCCGGACCATGGACCCAGCCGACAAGTTTGTGACGCCCCGGCCGCCGCCTGCCACGCCGTCCGTCGTCAGCCCATTGCCGCCCCCAGCCTCCGCCATGGCCATTCCCAACGAGCGGATGCCGGTGGCGTCATCTGGTGGCAACAACATACGCCCAGAATCTCCACTGCCTTCGTCAAGATATCTTCTTCGTCACCAGCGCTCGGTTCGTTCTCTGTCGCCATCTGCATCACTCTCTATGTGGTCCCCACGCCGGCTGTTTGTCCGCCGCACCAGTCCCAGCCGGGAGGTGAAGACGGCCGATGAGCAAGAGGAGGAGGAGGAGAAGGAGAAGGAGGGTCGTCCTTTCGTCCCCTCATCTTTCGGCAGCGAGAACGATACCCACCTGCACCGGCCTGTCCTCTCGTCAAGACTTGCCTCTTCCTCGTCAGCGTCATCCATCACATCTGTCTCGCGCTTGCGCCACGGTGCTCTCGCGCCTAAAGCATACTACCCATCATCCGCATCACAGGGCAGCCGGTCTCGGGATATCTCGCCCGAGTCTCTGCGCCGCTTCCTTGTCGACGACGCACCTCTCGAGAGCCTGACTGGCGACAACACTTCGACTGTGCCTGCCGTAGCTGTGGACACGAGTATGGCTGGCCAGGGATCGTCGTTTTTCCTGTCGGAAACGGACGACGAGGACGAGGACGATGGCAAGGACGACGACAAGGACGATGGTAACACTCAAGATTTTGATGACTTAATCGACGACGATGAGCACAACTTTGCCACATCGACCACGTCGGAAACTGCACCAATGACCATCCTATCACCGCCGCCGTCACGCACCATTACGCCAAAGACACAGGAAAAGGAGAAGGTGGTCGATGTTGTGGCTGCTCGGCCTCTTCCTGAAGCGCCCACACGGGCGCCACCGGCCATCCCGGAGCCGATGGCAGAGCTGACTGCTGCGCCTGCTGTGGGCGACTCTGGGCTTCCCGTTGAGACCGCTGAAGAGGTCGCCGCCGAACCACCCACCGTCGAAGAAGCCATGCAGTCGGAGACGCTCGACCTTCCGCCGCTCAATCTCGATCTAGAATTCCCACCTGTGTTGGCACCGCCATCGCCCATGTCGCTCTCGCCCATGTCCATGTCCATGTCCACGTCCTCGATGGGCGCCGCGTCGTTCCAGTCACACGAGGACGACAGCGACGGGGTTGACGCTGCATCTTCGGTGCTATCGGCAAGAGGCCCGGATGCACTGTTTCTTCCTCCGCTTGAGCTTCCATTCCAGGGCGAGAGAAGCAAGGCCGCTGCGTCCGAGTCGCAGCACCACCACCACGATCAGCATCACCACCGCCACCATCTGGTGGCCGCCGCTTTGACCGGCAGCACGGCGACCTTGGTTCCCGGCAATGGTCTCATCGGCGCCGGCTCCAGCAGCGGGCTGGACGACCTGGTTGACGAGCTTGGTTGGATGGCCACTGCGATCCAGGGCTGAGCCCTTTTCCTTTGTTTACTATTTTTTTTTGGCTCTATTATGTGTCAACTTCCCTTTGTCGGCTGGTTTCAAATATTTTTAGAAGCGTTGGGATTCTTTTTCTTATTTCTTTGCATTGGGTAGCGACCGGGACTTTAGATGAGAGCCATCGGGATTACGGCCTCAAACAACGGACTTACATTGGGAATTGGGTATCTGGTTTTCGTATTTTTTTACGACTAATATTTCGCATGAGACGTTACAGACGACCTCCACCAACCGGATCAAATCAGGGACGTCGTTACGGCTCTTCTTCCAATTCAACACGACATGTGTCCTATTTTCGGCGCATGATAAATCGCGTCCTGGACGTCTTATTTCCTCCGTATTCTGTGCACGCGAAATTTGTCATGAACTGGCGTCGATCTGCGCCTTGCGTCTCACGACCAGGGCTGGATTAATTACTCGCCTCGCTGGCCAATTTGCCAACGCAGCCCGGTTTAACTTTTTCCGGGGCATCTGACACCCCAGCTAAGCCTTGCCAGGCAATTTTTCGCTTATGGCAGAAGCTTAAATACGACGGTGCAGGGGAAGCATGACATACTAGATCTCGGACGTAGACGTCTGTTTACGCGTCTTAATCCGACGGGACCCGGGGCGGGTTGGCCGATTCTGGGCATGCCGGCGGGCCGTGGTTGAGCCTTTGATGCGTTGCGGCTTGCCGCTGCCGGGATGGTGGAAGGTTCTCCGCCACAGCCAAAAAAAACATGTCGACCCACGAGTCAGTACAACGTAAGTTTTAGTCGGTCTTCGGACGAAAATCCTGCCGACGAAGAAGTCCGAGATGACTGGGGCTATTCACTTGTGTAGAAAAGAGTGGGGTTCGCCCAAATACCGGAGTTGAAGTGAGCATTGGCTGGTGACTGACTGGCTCTGAGCGATCGCCGGAGTTGCGGGCTTGCGATCGCCAGTACGGTGAGAGCAAAGGATCCTACAGCGTGTTTTGTGACGCGAGTAAAATGACAAACCTTGAATTTCAAATTGTGTCTCCTTTCTTTCCTGGTGTGAGAGAGGGCCGTCAGCAAATAGTTTTTGACAGCTTTCAGTGTCGCTTGTTCTTCTTGTCTCAAAGATAAAAAGGCACGGTAGCCAAGGGGCATAACAAATGTGAAAAGGAAAACTCACCCAGGCGACTGTCAAAGAAAAGCAAGGCTCACTTACCAAAGCGTCGCACCATCGCCTTTATAAGCTTGATACAAGGCTGCAGGAGCAGATCCCGAGAAAGCACTAGACGACCAGGACTCTCAACAAACGACGGCGAAAGAATAAAAAGGAAAGGAGAAAGAAGCGAAACAAAGCCAATCTGCAAATGCGTTGCACCTTTCTTGCCTTTTAAAGAACTCCCCGGACCTTCGTTCACATCCCAACGAAGAGGAGGGGCCTTATTCATTCCCACTTTCGACATCTCGCTCCGGCCAGACACACACTCGCAGCCGTTCACCCCTCTTCGGCATTCCGAGCGTGTCCGAGGCCGTTTGAATATTGGCGAGTCTTACTCCATTCGCCTTCGAGACGCCAACTCACAAACCAGCACTCCCGCTCGCAGCCAGCTCTTGGGGTGTGCCCTTTGTGCCCTCTGTGCCCTTTGCCCTTGTTTGGTACCGACTGGCCACCATGGATGCGAACGACAGCACGTCCTCGGACGACGACCTGCGGGACGAGTCCCCCGAGCCCCAACAGGCTCTGGAGCCCTTGGCCTGTGTGGCCTGTCGTGCGCGTAAGCTCAAGTGCGATCGGACGAAGCCTGCATGCAGTCGCTGCACCAAGGCCACTGATGGCACTGTGTGCGTGTACCCGGAGTCGCGCCGCAAGCCCATGTTCAAGCGCCGTAATGTCAAGGACATTGAGGCTCGTTTAGGTATGTTCGTCCGATCTCGATACCCTCCCTCCTCGTCTGCCCGTCTCTGCTTCCTACCCCGATTCGGGCACTCTTATGAGTTTTGCTCCGCACTGACACGCCCGCAGCCCAGGTGGAAGGCTTGTTGAAGGATGCACCTGGCCTCGACCGCAAGAGGACTGCCGCCGATGAGCACGACTTTGAATCTGCCAGTGGTTCTGCAGTCCGCAACGGCACCGGTCTTTTCTCAGTCATCACTGAAACTGAACTGGACCGCGGACCCAATGATGGAGGTCCGGGTCCGGGCGTCCCTGTTGGCGAGGGTGCCTTCTCCACGGAGCTCATGGACCTCGGCATGTCCGAAGCACCGCCCCCGTATGAGATCATTGAGGTCTTGTAAGTCTGCCTTTGTTGTTTCCTTCGTCGCATGTTGGTTTTTTCTGCACAATGTGCTGATCCGGACCCCCGTGGTAGACACACAGCCTACTTCCAGAACCAGCACATGTTCATTCCCATTGTGCACAAGGCTCGCTACCTCAAGGCGTTCCACTCGGCCCCGCACCTGCGGCCGCCCATGGGCCTGCAGTACGCCATCTGGGCCATGTCCTCGCAGGTGTACCGCAAGTATTCTGGCTTTCACGATGCTTTCTATCGTCGCGCCCGACAGTATCTCGAAAACGACGAGATGAAGGTAACAATGGAGGACAAAACGTCACGTCAGCTGTCGCGGTAGGTGCCATGTACTGACAGGCAAATAGGGCCATGGAGAGCATTTCATTACCATTGGCCATGCGCAGGCATGGGCGCTTCTGGCCGCATACGAAGCGCGTCGCCTCTTCTTCACGCGGGCGGCGATGAGCTGCTCGCGCTGTGTTCGTCTCGTCGGCATGATGGGCCTCAACCGCCTCGACGACGAAACCTCTGGCGATCGTATTGCGTCCACCCTGCAGCCCCCGGCGGACTGGACTGAGCTCGAGGAACGACGACGTGTGTACTGGGGAGCTTTCTGTGTCGACAGCCATGCCTCCATCTCGACCGGTTGGCCTACCCTGATTAATGCCAACGATGTAAGTGGATTTTGCCAGGATCGCTTCCACCAGTTCCTCGCAGACGTTGTAACTCACATGTTGTGTAGGCAACGACACACCTGCCAAGTTCCGAAGAGGCATTTGCGCAAGGCATCCCTCAAGTGTCTTGCACGATCGACAACATCTTTTCAGGGTCGACGTACTCGACATTTTCCACCGCCATCCTTGTGTGCCATCTGTTCAATTCAATCCTGCTTCATGTGCAGCTCAAGCCGAGCGACCGACCAGAGGACTTTGAGTATGGCCCCTTCTGGGAGCGCCACCGCAGCCTCGACACGAAGCTGTCGTCGGCGTTTGTGTTTCTGCCCGAGCGCTACCGCCTGCCAAGCAACTTCCACGACCCGGTCGCTGTGCACACCAACTTGAACTTGCACGCGGCGGTCATTTGTCTGCACAACGCGGCCGTCGAACGGGCCGAGGCCCACAACATGCCGGAGGCGGTCGTCCAGAGCTGCTATGACCGCATGTCGACGGCTGCCCGGGAGATTGTCAACATTATCGAAAGAACGAGCCACATGGCGGGTAGCTATGTAAGTCAGTTGGCGGCTTTTAGAATATCAGGGGAGAGACAAGCGCGTGTTCCGTACTCATACTTTTGTTTGTGCTGTTTAGAAGAGTCCCCTCGCCTCCTTGTCGCTGTACTGCGCCACGTCGGTTTTCGTCTACCAGGCAATGATGCATGAAAAGAACCAGACGCAGGACACCGACGCGGCCGAAACCACGGCGGGCTACATTGCGTTCATTATGCGCTGCATGGACAATGGACGCGCCAACAAGGTCACGCGCCTGTTGCTGCACCAGGCCATCATGGACATTGACCGCAACGGTCTGGCCACGGCCAAGCACTTTTCCTGGTTCGCGCGGTACAGCAGCCGGACTGTCGATGAAGGCCACTATGTACCTGTGCTGGCCCGCTCCGCCGTGTCGCGGCACTCGTGGCAGCAGCCGCCCATGGCCGGCCGGCTGCCGCTGATCAACACCCACAACACCAAAATCATGAAGTCGCAGCAGTGCTGCCCCATCGGCTCCACCAATCTATGTGACTCGTGCCGCAAGATGGAGGCAGCCCAGGCGAGCCGACATGCATCGACGACGATGACAACAACAACAACAACAACAACCAACACGAATGGCGGCGACCTGACAAAGAAGCGGCGACGGCTGCAATCCCCCGAAGCGGCCGAGATGCCATCCATCGACGCCTTCCGCTCGCACTACGGCGGTGCATTTGTCGTCCTGCCACGCCGCGCAGCAAATGTGTCGCCCACACCGTCCGACGAGTCGTCGGACGAAGACGTCGGGTCGAGCGTGCACGCAGGGCCTCCGTCGTCGAGCACCGGCCACAGTAGCGGCAGCAGCGGCCGCAGCTGCTCGCGACCCTCGGCGTCGACGCAGGGGAGCCTGTCCCGGCTCGGTACATCTTCGCTACCAGGCACCGTCCCACCTGGTGTGGGATCCGTGCCGGACAGCATGTCTTTGCCAAAACCGCAGCAGCTGGCCCCTGCGGTCGACGACTTCTTCCCGACCGTTTCGCTGCCTGATCTTTGGGCCGGAACCTCACCGTCCGTTGTCGCAAACGCTAGCCTGGGTGATACGGCCGCGTTCATGGGGCTGTCGAGCGCGTCCAGCGATGGACAGCATGCACAGCCGGGTGGCGGCGTGACGCTGTCGATGGAGCCCCCGCATGACTTCTCGTCAATGAACGAGACCGTCACAGCCGGACTGGATGAGGCCACGATCCAGGTTCTGCTATCGGGTGACACAAGAACTGGCGGCCAATTGGAGGGTCCGGATCCGTGGACGACGTTTTTGCAGGCGGGCGATTTTGACAACACGGACTGGAGCACGATCGACAACCAGTCATGATGGGGGAGAGATGATGAGTGAAGACGGGACGAATTGCTACGATATTGCGTTTGGGGTGGGAGCCCCTTACGAGGCCGAGTCATTCGCTCCTACCTGATACAGAGCATCGTCGTGCAATTTGCGGCCGATGAAGAAGGCTCGATCAGTAGCGAAAGGAATGGAAAGCGGTTGCTGGCACAGAGGAAGGAACGATTGACCCAACACGACTCTGTTAGACGAATACTTTTAGATACCAAGAACTTTTTTTGTAACCATCGCTCATGACACATTTATTGACCCTTTTTTATAGAGAGAATGTGCTTTTTTACGCCGTGTGCCATATTAGTCGACAGCCGTGGGGCATCCAAATGGATCCCAATGGCCGAATCCAGTACAACGAGAAAACGGTCAGAATCCGCCCTGTATTTTTGGTGAGAACTAAGCTCGTATTCGCCTAACGGGGCGTTCGGAGAGCAGCCGATCGTGCTTTCCGTTTCTTCCATATGCCGACTTCTGCTCTTTATCGCCAGAAAGAGAAGGCCAAAACAAACGCCGATTTTTTGTTTTGTTTTGTTTTGTTTTATTTTTGGTTTCGTCAACCCTCCCGGGATGTTTGGATATGCGGCCTTGGTCTGCTTGGCGGCAGTGCTTTTCTGGCTAGACCCCATTCTGCGAGTGGTGGCCCCCTCGGTGCTGGATGCGCCGGTGTTGCGCAAAACGCCGCGGCCGCCGATCAACGAAGCGCTGTTGGCGCTGGAGGACGACTCTTTGGAGACGGAAGACTTGACATGTCCTGACGACGCTTATACGGTGCACATCTTCAGCAAGGCGCCGCTGGTGCTGTACGTCGAGAACTTTCTGTCGCTCGCCGAGCGGCGGCACCTCATTGAGATCAGGTAGGCATAGTGGGAGGGACGGAAACGTTTGCCATAGACCTTCACCTTGGGGACGCGGGTGCTAACTGATTCATAGCGCCCCCATCTATGAGGCGTCGACGGTGACGCACGACGGCGGCGGGACCGTCCAGCGCAACGCCACGGTGCGCGACTCGGAGGTGGCCGTCGTGCCCCGCACAGACGTGGTGCGCTGCATCGAGGGACGGGCACGACGCCTGCAGGGCTGGCGCGACGACTTGTGGATCGAGCGGCTGCGCGTGCAGCGGTACCAGGCGCCGTCGGGGCACTACAGCTACCACTACGACTGGAGCCGATCAGGAGCGGCGACGGGGGGCTGGGGCCGGGTGTCCAGCCTGATGGTGTTTGTGGACGACGGGAGCCTGGACGACAGCGTGGATGGCCGTGAAGCGGTTCCACTGCAAGGCGGCGGGACGGCGTTTCCACGTCTACCGCGGCGAAGTACCGACCGGCGGTGGTGCGCGTTTATTGGGTGTGGGCGCGGGCGTGGTACCGATACCGACAACACAGGCCACGGCGCGGATGACGCAGGCGCAGACGATGCCGAATATTCCAGCACGGACAACTCGACAGGCGTCGTCTTTTTGCCGGTGGTCGGCAATGCTGTATTCTGGGAGAACTTCCGGCCAGACAGCACAGGCCGAGCGTACGAAGAGACGTGGCACGCCGGACTGCGCGTGCGCCAGGGCGTTAAGGTCGGGTTGAACATCTGGAGCTGGGGACGAGTGGACTGAGCGTGGCCGAGTCGCCCGCGAGTCGCCTGCTGCAGCCGCAGAAGCAACGTCGCGATCGTTTCCTTCGGGTTTTCTTCTTCCTTTGTTTTTGTTCTGGGCTTGCTTGCTTTTTCTTTCTTTCTTGAAACACTATGTGACATTCTCCGCACTGCCCAGCGTCTCTAGGCCTTGCTTTCCGCATTGAAAACGTTGCCCACATATTTTTGCTGTGGTTTTCAATGCCTCTTTTCTTCGTCGTTCACCGCTCTTGTTACACCAGGCACGCAAGTCGTCCACGTTTGTGGCTTGTACCAGATGTCTCGTGCCGCACTGTCCCACCTTGTCGTTCTTGTTGCCTTTGTACGCCGTCCTCTGTACTATTATGCAACCAAGATCCAGCGACAGGGCCATGCAGCAGGCAGGGCGAGGCGAGACGCGATGGCAGTGGCCTGTGTGATGGGTGAGAAATGACAGGGCCAGCTGCGAATCGGCAGTGCAGCCTAATGGATCAGGCGGGCCACCTTCAAGCATTCACTGCCAATACGGTGCACGAATTCAGCTTCGAGAAGGCCGTCGTGGTACGAGACCCGCACACAGCATCAGTTGGCTGGGATGCAGACGCCACACAGGATGGGGGTCACAGAGAACACAAAAAGGAGACAAAGAGCGAAGGGGTAAAAGGAAGAACCCTGGTCAATCACGGATGCAGTCCCATACGTTGAGGACGATATCTCAGCGGACAAGAACGGCGCTCTGATGCAGGAAGACTGGTGCATCGTTTCGAAAAAGAGGATGTGCTGAGTTGTCGTTGTGGTCAGCGCATCGCCCAATGAGAAGAAGGTCTCGAGAAGAAAAGCCGCTCGGCATAACTTGACAACTTGACAACTTGACATCAGAGCATCGCATGGACCGTCGCGTGCAGATGGACCGTCGCCTTTTTGTTCAGATTTCGGAGTCTTTATCTCACGGCATAGGGCTACGAATGTGCTCCGTATGCGTGTCTATACGATGTATACCCGAACCACCTTCCGACCTCGAAACAGCCGTCCGTCAACGTCCATTCTCGTACCAGCTGCCGAACAAAACCAGGGGCTTCCTTGTTGACAGCCGCTGAAATAAAAGAGCCAAGTGCAGACACGGGCACTACTGATGCACAGAATCTTTTGTTTGTCTCTGTGTTTGTGTATGCATGCAAAGCGGCGTTGCATTCCATTCTGCAATGTCCCCGTCTAGGGCAACAATTCGCGCTCCTCGTTTGCCTTGACGGAGCTGTCAAGTCAGGCTCAACCGCGGATCGGCATGATTTACTGCCAGCTCCCCCGGTTTCTCCTGAGTCTCGGATGTTTGAGACTGGGCCGGGCGATTATCCATCGATCCATGTCTCTCCTTCCCCTTTTTTTTGATCGTTCTCCATTCACGATACAACCCGCCAGACATTCATCCGACAGAAAGAGTGGAGAGGTCCTAGCCATGGGTGGGGGACATAGGAAACGGGCGGACCAGATCTTTGCAGAGGACACGGCACGGCAGAAGGGAAATATTGTCTGTTCTGAAATCCTGAACCTGAAAACCAGGCTGCCGGGATGTTGAGCAATTGTGCAGAGGCAATTTAATTGTGGGAGGACCCTGGCGTTCGATGTCTTCTTTCATTGACCCAGCCAGCCTATGCGGTCGTTTCAACCTCGTCAACATTTTGCCGCCCGTACGACATGTCCCGCTGCCGAAACATTGTTGACAGCACGCCGATACAACTGCATGATCTTTGATCCCTCTTCCATTCTGCTTGTCTTTTTTTCCTGTCGTCCTTTTCTCCCTTGTGTCTTCAGTCTTGTCCCTGTCCAACCTACCCTGGTCCTGGCCATACACTAGCGATGGCAGCAATAGCGGGAAGAGAGCGCATATCCAGTCGTCGCCCCTGGTCCATTTGGCAATGCGGTTGCTTTATTTTCTATTTTACATACGTCGTACGACATCCTTTTTTCCATGTAACCCACTACTGTAGCTGAAGTTTGTGTCGTTTTTTCCTCTTGCATCTGGTCTTTTCGACCTAATTTTGGGGGGCTCAAGCGCCTGCATGCATAAGACCTGCATGAAGAGAAGGGGTGCATCTATTTTGTTACTTGTTTTTTTGGTGGACGGAGTACACAGTATGTGCCACGTACGGAGTCCAAGTATAACTACTCAAGTGCGAGGTATATGAGGTATATGAGGTATATTGTGCTCCAGGTATAATATCAGACAGATGTGTACTTTGTAAGGGCCTTGAACGAAACTGTGCTTTTCATTTTTGTATCTGTTTTTGTCGTCTACTTCAGCAGGATTTGTTTGGTCTACATCCCAGACAGGGATTCCCTTGCCAAGTGAAGACAATCTATGCGTCTACGATCTGTTCGACAGATGGGCAGTGTGCAGCTTCAATAGGACAGACGACAAATTCACGTCCAACGCGGATACCACATATATCTTGCGGACGATATCATGCAGTTGGCAAAGCTCACGTTCTGTCTGCCAAGGGGCAGTCGTCTGTCGTCTATTGTTGACTGGCAGCAAGCTCTCGTTTAGTTCCTTTATGTTTCTTTGGTTCGTGCTAACTGACAGCGTGTCGTACAGACAGTAGAGTCGACAGCCACCGTATCTTGGCCTATGGAAATTATCCAGACTGTAATACAGACGAGGTCCGTGTCAGTACTTTCCAGTTCATTTTGCCATCCCCCCGTAAATCGCCGGCTCGTTGTCTCGTTCAGCGACGCATTGTCCCGAGACAAAAGACGACAATAGACAGCAGTGGACAGAGACAACAGAGAAACCAAAGAAAGCAAAGAGAGGACCTTGTTGACCTGGATCGAACGTCTGTCTGGAAAGACCGATGTATGTGTCCACTGCGTCATGTACTCTGTACATGGCCCCCATTCGCAGCGTTTCAGAGTCATTGTTCCGTTCGGTTAGACCTGGGCTCGACAGCTGTAGTCCACCGAAAATGAAAAGAAAAAAAGAAAGAAAAAATAGCGCAACAGGCTCGATCTTGGACAGCAGAAAGATTAGCTGACACTTTGACAGATGTCTAATTTCGGAAGGTCGAGAACCGTCCAAATACGACATGCGGCATATTTCATCAGGGTGTGTATGTCGGAGGACATGTCCATTCACTACTGAGTATGCAGTCATGCCAAGCACTGGGAATGTCTGTATTGCATGCGGAGGAGGGTCCTGTGAGAGCGGCCAGGTGGCGGTCGAAGTGGAGAAGCATAGCTCGCAAGTGTCAAAAGTATGTCACTAAAAAGAAAACCCTCAAATATCACAAGTAATTCGCACGCAGCCTCGGATGTTCTCGTTGGGACATTAGGCCATTTGCCAACGGGAGTCTTGCAGGGCGTTTGTAAATTTGACTGTAAAA